GAATAGAATAGAATAGAATAGAATAGAATAGAATAGAATAGAAAGAAGAAGCTAGATGCAGCAAACTTGGGATAAATGGTTGTCAAAACTTAAAATCATAAAAGCAATTCTGAGTTTGTTCTTCTCTGCTTATAGTCTGTTTTAAAATGTAGTCTTAAGGATCTTAGGAAGTTCCTATTTCAAGTTATTGAAATGTATCTGAATTACCTCCATGAACTAGCGTAAACAACTCTGATTATTATTAGTAGTAGTTAAACTAGAAACTCTGCAGTGCAGTTTGAGAAAAGCAATTCCATATAATTTAGTAGCATAAGCAATTGAAGTTTTTAGCAAAGACAACCTATGTTTAGAGTTTTCAGTCCTTGATCCAGCAGCCTCATCTATAGCTAAGAAAAGTTTGTTCAGAATTAATACGTATGTCTGAATACTATTTACTGCTTATTTCATAGGCTCTACAAAGTTCTCTGCAAGAGCAGCAAAAAGGCCTGAATTATCTCAACACAACCGTTGAAGATTTATCTAGGAAAGCCCCTGCAGAAGTCAGCCAGAAATACCGATCGGAGGTTGAGTTGATTGTTGGCCGCTGGAAAAAGCTGTCATCGCAGTTGGTGGAACATTGCCAGAAACTTGAGGATCTTATGACTAAACTCCAACGATTCCAGGTTAAACAAACTTACTCAGCCTCACCTGAGGTGGCTTGTGGCCTTATGAATAGCACAGCATACACCTCAAAGGAGTACATAAAGTTAAAATGTAATGAAATGTTCTCTTGATTTTGGTGGGCCCAGGATTTTTCTTTGAATTCTAAATAACTTTAATTTCATTGAAATTGCTATTAATATTTCTCTACTTACTTTTTCAATGTAGTTAAAGTTTTTATTGCAGCTGAAGTAGCTTTAACCATGTTGACTCTAATAGATTCACTTACGTATTTAATGGCATTTGTAGCATGGTAGTATCTTGGTAGCAGCTGCCAAGAGTTAGAAATGTTCCTCACTTGCACAGTTACATGATTTTCAGGTATTTAGAATGACATTATTGCAACCTTACACTGTTGTTTTGTTTTACTCTGAGAATTTCTTGTTTACTTACAAATCACATATATCAGCATTACACAAGAAGATGATATTAAGTAGTTTAACTATTCCTCTCCCCACCAAGCAGCTCAGGGGCTTGGGAACTGAAACTTATGATTAGCTCATAAATCGTTCAGGAAAACTTTACTCCAGTGTGGTCTCATCTTATGCTGCAGGTTCCTTCGGGAAATATCCACCTGCTCTGGCAATGGGTTCCCCATGGGATGTGGGGACATTCTTCTTCCTCCACTATAGTCTCTGCCACTCTCATCCAGCACCTTCTCTCCCTCTTTCATCATTAGCCTGTGTGTTGGTGTTCACATTTCTTACATTTATTCTCTGCTCTGCAGTCATGGAGCATGCTGTGCTGGTGTGGGACACAAAGGCCCCCCCTGGATTTGTGTCCCTCCCCCCCCTTCCCTACTATCAAAACTTTGATACCTGCACCCAATATGACTAGGAAAACTGAAAATTGATTTTATCAATAGTACAGTGATATATTTGCAATTGCACAAAACAGATCATCCCAGATTAGTCTTTGTAGTTAATGCTCTGGTTCTCTATGTAAAAAGTATATTTCAACTTGAAATTTATTATGTTTAAACTCTGTAGGAGGAGAAGAAGAAGATAGTATTCATTTGACAGTGAGTTTTCTTCTTCACTGCACCTCTTAGATCTGTAGGACCACTGTTACTGTGGACAATTTTTGAAGGAAATAAGAAAAAAAAACTGTCAGCAAGTAAACAACAAATGTTACATCGATTTTTTTTTTTTAACCTCATATGAATGTCTTTTTCAGAACATATCATCTTTCAACCTAGCTAAAGAGTACTAGTGAGCCCGCAGCAGGAGTCTTGGAGCTGAGTGGCTTTAAGGTCCATTCTAACCAAAGCCATTCAATGATTCTAAGGCTTTGTGATTTAATTGTGAAATTCCAGTCTTTGTCTCCTTTTTTGTCAGAAGCTTAGGGATTCAATCACTGTTCTTAAAAGTGTCCTGAACATCATGGCCATGCTCTGCAGAGCATGTACTTTCAAAACTACCTGAGGTATTGCTGAATACAAATTTTTGCGTTTTGTATTTGTTGCTGAAATTGCTGTGGTGTACAGTTGATACAAAACTCATTGTCTTTTCAACTCCTTGAATGACTTGTGTTCCAGACAATTGTTTGAGCTGTTGCAATTTATGGAATGCATCTGCAAGGGATATGTCAAAATCAGTGTTGATAGGGAAAATACACTTGCAGTCTGATTTAAAATACAAGTCAGGCATTCAATCTTCACTGGTAGCTGGAGACTGATTTTTTATTTTTTTTTTAATGAATTCCATCAGATCTATACATCGCAGCTGTAATGAACTATAAGTATTCATGTAAAGATATAACTTTTTCATCTTGAAAAAGTTATGAACTATTTTTACTAAATGATAATTATATGCACAGTAGAGACTTCAACAGTGTTTTTGTAATAGCTATTCTGAACTACACTGGTAATTTTTACATATTTATTTTTATTAATTAAATGCATTTTCCAGTGTAGCCTGTTTTTATTATATACACCAAGCACATTAGGAAAATGTTTCCTCTAGTTAATTACCTGGTAGTACTTGTTAAAGAATTTTTTGATGTATTTTAGGGCACAATTTGTGTTCTAATGATAAATCCTTTTTAATGTTTAAATTCAGTTTTGTTTTCAGCATTTATCAGTGATACATAGTTCACTGCTTATGAAAATAGTTTGATGAACAAATGTTATAATTTGCCTTTGGCATTTTTTGCCATTTATCATTTTCATTTTTAACATGCATCTATTTAACTTAGGTAGCATTTTAAGGTAATTTTAAGCCACGTTTTTTAAAGGACCATTTAAATTTCTCATTGACTGCCAGAATAAAGTCTTTCACCTCTAGGATTGAGAAAAGCTGGATATTGTCCTCTTGGTAGATCATCAAATCTCATTCTTCCTCTTATGGTCTTACATTATGTATGTAATGCTTCCTTGGATTGTTGATGTTCCTTGTTTGCAAGCATTTAGTGTTCTGCTTTTTTATTATTAATAATTTACAGATTTAATTTAAGCTTATTGAAAGCAAATTACTGATTACAAATACACCAGTACTATAAACACTAAATGAGACTCAGTCTCTGAAATCCTCTTTTTGACTCTTGTCATTAAGTTACTGTGTGTGATTTTTCAGTTTCTGGACAGAATTTGTTTCAGTTACTGTTTTGCTTACAACTTTTTTTTATTCTGTGCAACGTGGCAGGTTTTCTGTGTTGTGTTCTGATTGAGGAATAGGTAACAGAATATGCAACTTCCAAAATGATCCTGAAGTTTAAATCACAGAAGGATTTGATAGATGAAGCTGAACTAATGGCCCAGTGTGAACAGTCTGAAGCCATACAAGGACCTGATGAATGTGTATTCAACATCTAAATACAAATAATCTCAGAATTAAATTGTAGTGAGTTCTAGTCATAGTGACAGAATTATGTTATTAGCAGTTAACACTAGTTTGTGATATAAAATGTCTTCTTAATAAACAGAATGACACAAAAACATTGAAGAAGTGGATGGCTGAAGTAGATGTCTTTCTGAAGGAGGAATGGCCTGCTCTTGGTGATTCAGAAGCTCTGGAAAAGCAACTAGAACAGTGTACAGTGAGTATTATTTGTCTGTTTGACAACTATTTTTCTCTGTGTATTGATCTTATACAGAAATTACACAGATGATCACCATTCCTAAAAATAAATTCATGTTGTAAAACGGAAAACCTGAATATACAGAGAGAGAGCATACAGGGACTACTTCAGTGTATGTTTATAGCAGGAGCAAGACATTGATGAGAGGGGACTTGTAACAATATATAGGTTTTGTAGCCTCTTAAGATAGTTGTTCATTTAGTTTGCTGAATTTGCAAACATTGCCTGGGTACTTACATGCTGAGTGATCTGTGTCAGAAGATGTTCTTCCGCATCTACTAGTCACGCATGATTTACAGACTTTTCTGACTGGACTGAAATAATTTCAGGTAACTGAAGGTATGAAGGTATTGTGAGTTGCATCTGTTTTTCTCACTAAACGTTGAAGCACCAGGATTTTCTCCCAGCAGATTTTTAAAGCATCTTGAAGCGTTGATACTTTCTTCGCAAGGTTTACATTTTTTTTCTGCCTGTCCCTACAGAGTTTGTAAGTGCAGTGAATCTTGTAACCTATAACAGTCTCTGAGAATGTGTTCATCAGAATTTACAAGTTCTGTAAATATTCTGGCAGGGTGTGTAAATATTATGAAAGATATGTACTGATCTTACAGAACTACAGTCTCCTCAAAATTACTCTCTTATTCCTTATTGAAATAAAAATGATTGTAATTTATGTGGAACAACTCTTACCTCTTACAGAGATGTGAGTTGCATGCAACTCCTTTAGAATGTCGCCTTTTATGAAGAACTTACATAAGTATTAGCCACTATTGTGAAGTATATAATGAAGTTATCAAAATCATCATCACCATTTGTATTTTTACACTTACAACTTTTTCTACTGTGTAAGAAGCCTAGGTAACACTTGAAGGACTAAAGAAGGCCTTAGCAAATAAAATTAGAGGTGGTGAGTTAGAGCTACCTCAGGGTTTAAATAATATTCAACCACAAATAAAATTCTAATAACTAGAAATAACCTGAGAATGTCACCATTCAGATCATTTTAATGAAACTATCAGGTGAATTACTAAGCCAAGGGTAATGCGTAGTTAGTAAGATGGCTTCACCATTATGATGGGATGTTCTTTTACAAATGCAAATAAAATATGCAGTATATAACATAACATCCTATGTAGCATGTATGTATATTTATACACTATTTGTATATATGTATATCTAGTATGTAGTAAATTTATATTCAAAACTTAATATATTTTGCAAATTAACATCATATGATATAGAATAGCTCACCACGCTTTTATTACTCATTCCTTTTTTATTTGTTTTCATAGTGAAGTCTACTAATTGTGCTCATTTGAGTTGAAATCTGAACCAAAATCATGTTAGAAACTCATGTAGAAATGTTTTGATAGGAAAAGTATAAATCACATGGTTTGAGTGAGTGCTACTTGCCTAATCTTCTACTATTCTTTCAGGCTTTAGTGAATGATATCCAGACAATCCAGCCAAGTTTGAACAGTGTTAATGAGATTGGGAAGAAAATGAAGAGGGAAGCAGAGCCAGAATTTGCTTCCAGAATAGCAACGGAACTAAAGGATCTCAATGCTCAGTGGGAACATATTTGCCAACAGGTATCAAATCTCCTTCTTTGACTGGTTCTTTTCTAACTAATAATCCAGTTTTTCATTGGCAGAGTTTGTTCTGTGCATACCCAATGGATAGGAAACAAACCAAAGAATATCCAAGATAATGATTCATGTTTTAATTGAATGTGTGAAGTATGCCAAGTTTCTAATATGGATTCTAAGGAACATTAAGTCTTTCAGTCACAATGAAATAAGAAATGAAACCTTCTCAAAGATAGAATTCGGGAGATATGCTATACACATTTTATAAACATATAAATTTACACTCTTATTATATAAATGACTGTGCATGTGCAAAATGCTATCCTTTCATTTTTCTGATAAGCACAATCATAAAACAGTTGATTTTAGAAATCTAAGATATTTAAAAGACATCTAAATCTCTAATACATTTTATTGATGCTCTTTTGTAGTCTTTCCCGTTTGATTAATGTCAATTTTTTAATATTACTTTTCATGTTAATATTTTAATAGTTTTGTAATGTTAATGCATTTGAGAACTTTGCACTTCTTTCAAATAAATTTCAAGTAAAGCCTTGTAATTTCAGGAGTGCTACAGTTTTATTCTGGCATCCCTGAAAATTATCCTGTAATAGTTCAATTCAATACACTAAACAAATTATTGCCTCTCAATGGTGATTTCTAATATAACTTCTTCAATAACAGCTCTTAAAGCACATGAGAAGCAGTAAATATAAAAATTTGATTGAAACAATTTGGAAAAGTCAGCCTGGATTAATATACATGCAGTTAATACAATTGTGTAAGCCAGCAGTCAATATTTAGATACTGTTTCCAAGTGATTGAAGGTAACTTTCTCTTCCAAGGAAGAGGCAAGTTTGCAGGACCCCATACTGATCTGCTTTCACACTTGTTGGACATAACTTTTTGGTGTTATCCTGTTTTGTTCTGTAAAACAATAGTTGCATAGAATGTTTAACAGGCAGGCCTTAATAAGGATGGGTAACCAAACCTGCAAAAACCAGAAACTTACATGAAGTTCTATGACAGAGTTCCTCCTGATGATACTGAAAAATAAGATATACCTAAGTAGCATCACTCTGCAGGATATTGGAGTGATCAGCTCTGCCATACCCACCCAATTCCAGAAATGGCACGGCACCAACTAGGTGTTTCTGATATAACTTATTTATACTGTGAAAGATGGTTCAGTTGCTGCCTTTAGTTACGATCAGTTTTAGTAGGCTGATGCACCATTCTATAAATGGCAGTATAACATAAGTTATATGACCCCAGTATAGTGTTAGTGAGTGGCAGAGCGTTTAATGCAAGTTTTTTTCACTCTAAGGTAAGTATTTTCCTCCAGTAGAAGTGCCCTTTTTTTACTTATATCTCTTATATACACCTTTCTGAGAGATCTGATAATGAGTTCATCAGCGAGATTAAGCCATGCACATTGCTTGTTCTTTTTACATCTTTTATAGCAGAGTTCCTGGATGACATTTTTTCAGATGTTTTTCTGATCACCTCAGTATGTGGTAGATCATTAGAAACCCATTTTCCACAGCAATATGCACTAAAAAAAAAGTATATGTACACATACATTGTACTTTTCCCATTACTTCTTATTGTCTGCCTGTCCAAGTACTTATTAATAACAGCTATCTAATTTACAGCTATAACTGTAGGATTGAGATTGGTTCTTTTCAGGCTAAAACGCCATTGAGTCCATGCAGCATACTTGCTTTAAGTACCACATAATGTTTTCTTTTTTAAAGGCCCATGCTAAGAAGGCAGCATTAAAAGGTGGTTTGGATAAGACTGTGAGCCTGAGAAAGGATTTGTCAGAGATGCATGAATGGATAACACAAGCTGAGGAAGAATATCTGGAAAGAGATTTTGAGTATAAAACACCCGATGAATTACAGAAAGCTGTTGAAGAACTGAAGGTAAGAGATGAACAAAGTCCTTGAACAGCTTTTAAAGTTCTTTTTGAAGAATCTTTTATAAAGAAAGTCTACTCTGTCATTCAAAAAGGAGTCTTTTGATACCTAGTTTTTCAGCCTGAAATTTAAAGCAGTGGCCAGTTTCGAGTAAAGTTTGAGGATATTTAAACTTCTACATTGTTAACGAAGTGGTTTCTTTTCCTCTTTGCTTTGTTGGATACTTGATTTTTATAGAATCATAGAATGGTTTGGATTGGAAAGGACCTAAAAGATCACCTAGTTCCAATTACCTGCCATGGTCAGGGTTGCCACCCATCAGATGAGACTGCCCAGGCCACGTCCAGCCTGGCCTTGAACACCTTCAGGGATGGGGCATCAACATCTTCTCTGTGCAGCCTGTACCAGTGCCTCACTGCCCTCTGAATAAAGAATTTCTTTCTAACATCTAACCTGAATCTGTCCCTTGCCTTGTCACTATCAGATCATGTAAAAAGTTGTTCTCCCTCTTGTTTATGAGCTCTTTTAAAGTACTGGAAGGCCACAATGTGGTCTTCCTGGAGCCTTCTCTTTTCCAGTGTGAACAAGCGCAACTCCCTCAACCTTTCTTCATAGGAGAGGTACTCCAGCATTCTGATTCTCTCATGTCGCTGCTCTGGACCTGCTTCAACAGCCCTGTATGTTTCTTGTGCTTGGTGCCCTAGGACTGAACAAAGTACTGCAGGTTGATCCTGGGATCTCCCCAACCCAAATGCAACACCTTGTACTTGGCCTTGTTGAACCTCATTAGTTTCAGATGAGCTCATTTCTCAAGCTTGTACGGGTCTCTTTGGATGGCATCCCTTCCCTCTCTCATATCAAATTCAGCTTCAACATTTTACTTGTTCTAGTTCAACATTATTTTGCATAAGTACTGTTATACAAATATAATTGATAGTAAGCATGTGCTGTAGATTTACAATTCTCGCTTGTTAATCAAGTAGCAAGCTCAAATTATTAGATTATACTGCATAATAAAACAGATAAAGTATATAGTTCTAAATACAAGCCCTGTTTTGGATTTTTGAGTAGTCTAGATTTCCAGCTAGAGTACAGAGATGTTCAAATTGTGACAATCGAACCTATGCAGATAACCAAGTCAGGTACCATGCATCTTTGCACCTGGTCCTGGTTATCCTTTCCCTGAAGGATTGCAGCTACCTCTTGTGTCACATACAAGCAAAAATATGGTCAAAATTCTGTTCATTTTGCAGCCCTTTTCTTCCCAGAGCTATTAGACAGGAATGACGGGAGTAAAGTGGTTAGCTTTCTCTGGCAGAAACAGCCTTTTTCTAATTATTCTAGTTTGTACAAGTTCCACAGGCTCACACGGGAATAACGTTTCATGTTGATTTCTTTGAGTTTCAGGGAGTTCTTATCTGTAGTCTGTAATGTCTATGGCAAAGGTACTTGGAACATTCATTGGAAAAAAATGAAGTAGCTTAATCTAACACAAATGAAATGATTAAGTTAAGATATTAAATTGCATTGAGTATCATGTATATATAAAGGATAACAAGAAAAAAATTTAGAAGTATGTCAACAGTAAAAGGAAGTCTAGGGAAAATGTAGGTCCCCTACTAAATGAGGTGGGTGCAGTGGTAACAGGGAATGCTGAGAAGGCAGAGATTCTGAATTTCTTCTTTGCTTCAGTCTTCAGTGCTAAGACTAGCCCTCAGGAACCCCAGACCCCACAGGTAAGAGACAGAGTCTGGGGAAGGGAAGGCTTCCCCTTGGTCAAGGAAGATCTGGTCAGACAGTGTCTAGCCAAAATCAATGCACACAAATCCATGGGTCCTGATGAGATGCACCCATGTGTGCTGAGGGAGCTGGCTGGGACAGGTGATTGCTGAACTCCTCTCTATCATCTTTGGAAGGTCTTGGTAGAAGGCAGAAGTGACTGAAGACAGGAGGATAGCCAGTGTCACTCTGGTCTTCAGAAAGGGCAGGAAGAAGGATCTGGCAAACTACAGACTACTCAGCTGCACCTCCGTCCCTGGAAAGGTGATGGAACAACTTGTTCTGCATACCCTCTCCAAGTAGTTGGAAGAGAAGAAGGTTATCAGAAATAGTCAATGTGGATTCACCAAGGGGAAATCATACTTAACCCAGCAGCCTTCTTTAATTCATTACTGACTGGATAGATGGGGAGAGAGCAATGGAAGTTGTGTATCTAGACTTCAGCAACACATTTGACAACATCTCCCACATCATCTTTGTTATGAAACTTATGTTATGAAAATGTGGGATAGATGAGTGGACAGTGAGGTCGATTGACAACTGGCTGACTGACAGAGCTCAGTGGGTTGTCATCAGCAGTGCTGAGTCTGGTTGGAGACCTATAACTAGTGGTGTTCCTTAGGGATCAGTGCTGGGTCTGATCATGTTCATGTTCAGTGACCTGGATGAAGGGATAGACTGCACCCTCAACACGTTTGCTGGAGAGGAATGCCTGACACACCAGAAGGCTGTGTGTTCTTCAACAAGACCTGGATAGACTGGAAAGTTAGGCAGGGAGGAACCAGATGAGGTTTAACAAGAGCAAGTATAGAGCCTTGTACCTGAGGAGGAATAACTGCATGCATCAGTATAGGTTAGGAGATGACCTGCTGGAGATGAGCTCTGCGGAGAAGGACCCGGGTGTTCCAGTAGATGACAGGTTGGATTTGAGCCAGCAGTGTGCCCTTGTGGCAAAGAACGCCAGTGGAATCCTGAGGTTCACTAATAAGAATGTGTCCAGCAGGTCAAGGGAGGCGATTCCCTCCCCACACTGCTCTGTCCTGGTGAGGCCACATTTAGACTACTGTGGCTGGTTTTGAGCTTCCCATTTCAAAAAAGACAGGGATTTCCTAGAAGGAATCCAGCATAGGGCCACAGAGATGATAAAGAGACTAGAGCATCTCCTGTATGAAAAAAAAACTGAGTAACCTGGGTCTGTTCCACATCAGGAAAAGAAAACTGGGGATAAATCAGATAAATGTTTATGAATATCTAAAGGGAGGCGGGAAGAAAATGGATGAGGCCAGACTCTTCTTGGTGGTACATGGCAATAGGACAAGAAGTAATGGCCAAAAACTTGAACATAGGAAGTTCTAAACTAACATACAGAAGAATTTTATAGAATGGGTGTGTGCTGTAGCAGGGATGATAAACTTGATGATCTGTTGAGGTCCCTACCAACTCCTGCAATTCTGTGATGTATTGCCAAAAAAATAAAAACAAGTTTTTCGTGTGAATTCAAGTTTAAGGGTTAATTCTCAGAACTTCATGGAATTAATTAGTTATTGGATGTTTTTGTGGTGGTTTTTTTTTTTTTTTTTTTCCTTCTGACAGAGACAATTCTGAAGGAGTTATTTGAAATCTGCTTCTTTCTCAAATCAGAGCTATGATTTTTATTTTACAGAGAGCAAAGGAAGAGACCATGCAGAAAGAAGTGAAAGTGAAGCTTATTACTGATTCCGTGAATAATTTCATAGCAAAGGCTCCACCTGCAGCTAACGAGGCTTTGAAAAAGGAGCTTGATGTTCTAATTACCAGCTATCAGAGACTCTGCAGCAGACTGAATGGAAAGTGCAAAACTTTGGAGGTTGGATGTTTTGTTAATGCTTGTATTTATAGTTATTCTAACTGTAGCAGTGAGGTAGAGAATGAAGGTGTATTACTGTATGGGACCACGAGCAGCCTAAAGCACTTCTGGTTGTATGAGTTACATACTAAATACCACATGTTTTTGTAGGCCATATACCTAAATCTTAGTAAGAATTGTATGTGCTGGAGAGTAAAACTAAAGAGAAATCACAGGCATGTTTTGTAGATGATGGACTGTAATAACTGCTCAGATTTCTTATCCTTTCTGAGATTAAGACAAGCATCTGGCTTCTGTAGCAACCTGGTGGTGTTGTCTTCACCAGCTCCTCTAGGCTTCATTCTTCCATGGCTAAGGGTTTTGATTAAATGACTCTGAAGCTGGACAGCAGAGAAACAGCATTTGATCTGCTAATAATCTGAATGTGTCACATTTTCAGTTGACCCTGCCATTTTGGCCAGTTCCATTATAGTTTCTTGTCCTAGAACTGTTTTTATTTTACACTGGGGTCATGGTGATTTAGATATGCTTATTTTGTTGTGAAATAATTCACGTTAGCTAACTTTGTAGAGGACAAATACGCAGTTGGGTAAAACTTACCTCCTCCAAATTTTACCCTGGGAAATTGGTTCTCTAATCTAAGCTGGTGAACTGTGTTTGCCCACACTAATGATGATGCTATTGTAAAGTAATATCTCTTTCTAACCTTTACAAAGACTTGAATTTGCAATGGCCAAGGTTAGGTGAAATGAATTGTTACTCTAGGAATCTTGGCTTATGGACTGCCATGAGTCTACTTTCTTCTAAGAAAAAAAGGAAAAATGCATTCAATATGCCATTTTTATCTACTTATTTAAGTATCCTCAAGTACTGGAAAATGTTAAATACCAAAAAAACAGGAGTTATATTTAAAATAATGCAATGTAAATGTAAATGCAAAATATAATATAAATATATTTTACAACATTATATTATGTATTCTAGGACTTAAATGACCTATAATTTTATCATGGTTTAACCTTTCAGGCAACTAAGCAGCACACAAGTCTTTGCTCCCCTTATCCCAAAATGAGATGGTAGGATTGTAAAAATAATAATAATTTTAAAAGGGGTAAAACTTGTAAGATGAGATAAGGATAAGGCCAGTTTAATAGCAAATAAAATAAGAGGGTAGATGGCGAAAAAAAATATAATACAGAACACAGTTGTCACTACTAGCTAACTGACAGGCGCCCAGCCAGTTTCTAAGCAACAACAGTCTCTGCTGCCTGCTCCCCCAGTTTTATAGTTAAGCATGACAGCATATGGCATGGGGCATCCCTTTGACCAGTTTGGGTCAGCTGTACTGGTTCTGTCACCTCCCAGCTCTTTGTGCACCCGCAGCCCCTTTTGAGTAGGGCAGCCTGAGAAGCACAATAGTCCTTGACTTAGTGTAAGCACTGCTCAGCAGTAACTAAAATATTGCATTGTTACCACCAGCATTTACATCCCAAATACAAAATATGGCACTATACTGGCTACTAGGAAGAAAATTATCACAACTGTAACCAGGACAAATTTATATCAGTATTAATTTCTGTGAAGATTTGATCAGTATTCTTGAAATCCCTGTTTTTAGATATTGTGTGAATTTGTGCTTTAAGTAATTAATGTGCAGACTATTTAAGCAGCTTAATTATGTTTTGTAATAAAGACAAACTTCTAACATGAATCCTTGAAAATTTGACAACTTGTGTATTTGGAACAGAAAATCTTCAAGGTGTTTTTTCTTTGTTTGGCTTTGGTTTTGCTTTTTTTTTTTTTTTTTTTTTTTTTTTTTTCTGTATTTGTTGAAAATGTTTTGGTTATATACTGTATTTATTTAGAATCCATAAACACTGGGAAAAAATCAACTGTATAAGATACTGTAAGCTTTAGACATTGCAATGTTTTGGGAATGAAATATGCCATGTTTTCAGTCTTTTAATAAGTGAAATTTGGCTTTGAGCTTCAATCCCAATAAACATTTTTTTCTCCTTCAGGAAGTCTGGGCATGTTGGCATGAATTGTTGTCATATTTGGATGCAGAAAACAAATGGTTGAATGAGGTGGAATTGAAACTCAAGGCAACTGAAAATATCCAGGGAGGTGCAGAAGAGATTTCTGAGTCTTTAGATGTAAGTGCTGATGTAAACAATACCAGTTTGAATTTAGATCCACCTAAGGGAAATAGATTAATTTACTGTATTATGCCTTATTTGGTGATAATAAAACATATGTTGTAAAAAAGTATCCTCTCTTAAGTAAGTTAAAAGTGAAAGCAAATTTTCATTTTAGAACTGCAACTCTGTTTTTTTGTTTTTTTATTCGTGGAGTCTTTCAAATTCTTAGAAATTCTGTTAATAATTTCAGAGGATCAAAATACAAAACATTACACTGGTGATGCCTTTCTGCCATTGAGCTTCATCTGTCAAGTTACCAAAGCAATTTTTTTAATATAAAGTATACAGATGCTGTCAGTGGGCATATTGCACAGGCTTAAAATAAGGCATGCAATTTGTTGCTTTATAAAGAGTCGTTCTTTGATTATAGTAATGGGTAGTGGAAAATATTTATTTTCAAGATGGAGGGCAGTGATATTTTTGGCCTATCTCTCTACTTTGATTGTCCAAGAAATGTGAAGTTTCTTATTTAAAATTTTAAGGGAAATTATGATTGCTCTGTAGAATTTTATTTACAGAAAGGAGAACAATCTATTTTTTTAACTTATTTCAGTCTTTGGAACGTTTAATGAGACATCCAGAAGATAATCGCAATCAGATTCGGGAATTAGCTCAGACTTTAACTGATGGTGGAATCTTGGATGAACTGATCAATGAGAAACTTGAGAAGTTCAATACTCGATGGGAAGAACTGCAGCAGGAGGTATACTTAGTAATTGACTTTTCCTCCCCTTAAATAGCTGACTATCTAGCACCATTTAAAAAAAATAAAAAAACCAAAAAGTTAGTTTACTTCCTAAAAAAGGCACAAACATTGACTTATTTTAGAGATGGACCAGTTATATAGGTATGGTAGGTTGGCTCCAATAGGTAGCAAAGCATCACATACCTGTTTGCTTGCTTAACATGGGATACTGATAGAATCAGGACACAAGGGTAGCTGAAGGAAAGCGCCTGGTTACCTTTGCATTCATGTCCTATGTTGCTGAATAGTGTCTTAAGTGAAAAAGTAACATGACTTTCTGTATACTGCCCCGTTCTTCCCTCCCATCCCCTCCCTTTTTTTTTTCATAAATACTTAACTGAATGCAGATATTTTCCCTGGATTCTGCTTCTTATTATTTGTTTTTTTCCTGACTTAGGAAGAGAAAGCCACTAGCATACAGAGGACTTCCAGTGCCTGAAAACAGGACTTTCATATAGTCTTGCTTGTCTAAAAAGTAATACTACCTGCAGGGGTTCAATCTGAGAAGTACAATAAGTACGGTGAAATAGACTTCTGGAGATTATTTTGATGATTGTATAGACAAAATATGTTAGGGTCGTATTCATAGAATCATAAAATGGTTTTGGTTGGAAGGCACCTTTAAGATCATCTCCCTGCCCCTCTGCTATAGGCAGGGACAGCTCCCTCTAGACCAGGTTGCTCAAAGCATCATCCAGCCTGGCCTTCAATGCTTCCAGGGAGGGGGCATTCACAGTCTCTCTGGGCAACCTGTTCCAGTACCTCACCACGCTCGCAGTAAATAATTTATTCCTAGTATTTAGTCTAAACCTACCCTCTTCCAGTTTAAAGCCATTTCCTTTCATTCCGTTGCTACCTGCCCTCATAAAAAGCCTTTCCCCAGCTTTCCTGTAGTTCCGCTTCAGGTACTGTAAGGCTGCTATGAGGTCCCCCCTGAAGCAGCCTCTTCTCCAGCCTGAAGATTTAAAATCTTTTTAATGAAAAATGTGGGGAAGCATTGGGGCTGAGTGAGCCAGTGAAGGTACCGTTTGTGTTGTTCAAATCCTTCTTGGAGGTTTTCTATGTGGAAGGCCTACCAGATGGAGTGCCATTCTGATGACCTTCTACTTTTGGAATTCCAAGGCTAGAGAAGATTCTGAGAAAAAAATCTAAAATAAAATTCTGAGATAGCTCTCTCAGCCTGTACTTGTAGGGGCTGGTGCTCCAGCCCTCTAATCATCTTCATGGCCCTCCTCCAGACCAACTCCAACAACTCCATATGTTTCTTGTGTTGGAGGCTGTAGAACTGAACACAGTACTCTAGGTAAGGTCTCACAAGAGCAGAGTAGAGGGGCAGAATGACCTCTCTTGTCCTGCTGGTCAGTCTTCTCTTCATACAACCCAGGTTAAGGTTGGCCTTCTGGGCTGCAAGCATGCGTTGCTAGCTCATCTTGAATCTCTCATCAATCAGCACACCCAAATCCTTCTCCTCAGGGCTGCTCTCATGCCATTCTCTGCCTAGCCTGTATTTGTGCTTGGGATTGCCCTGACCAATCTGCAGGACCTTCCACTTGGCCTTGTTAGACTTCATGAGGTTGGCATAGGCCTCTTCTCAAGCCTGTCCAGGTCATTGCTTTCCAGTTGAAATAAGAATAAAAATGGAGGAGAGTGAGAAAGCCTCCCAGTTCTTGCAAAGCTACTCTGGTGTTCAGAAATCAAATGCTCATGGTGAGATCTGTAAACAAGTAGAATAGAGTAAAGAAGCTATTTCAGTTGCAAATGATTCTGTCACACTGTTTCTTTATCACATGAATATAATTTATTCAACAAAATGTTTTATTAATTTTTAAACTCAAGTCTTGTGTGCTTTGTCCCATAGATTCCTGACACTGAATTTTTTGAGTTGTTCACATGGCCCTGTTGAAATCCAAATAGCATGCATTCTCCTTCCATAAGAATACATTGCTGGCACTTAACAACACTCTTCAGGTTGTGTTCAAGGTCACTTCAGCTGGCTAGTAGGCTAAGTGAATGTGGTTATTTATTTTATTTAAATAATTATGCAGGTAATTACCAAGACAATATGTTCATATGCACAGAAGCTGGTAGGTGAAATATTTATTCACTATTAATAGAGCAATTAAACCAAACCTCTACCATATAAATTAAGTTGCATGGCTGCTGAGATTCGTTTTTAAAGCTGATCAAGGTTATATGTTTGTACGTCTTATCTTATTTGGTTAACAAAGAGAGTATGTTTGGTTTACTTTTGAACATCTGGGTCTGGCTGATAAGCGACATACACTCCATCTATTTTTCCAGGATTGATTCACTTACATATATACAAATACATATATATATTTGATGTACAAAACACAATTGCCTGAAGAACTTTTGCAGGTGGCTGTAATCTCCTGTAATGTTGAAAGTGATTTACATCCTGTCCAACAAACGCCAGATATTAGATATTCTCAAGACCGTGCTTGCAAAAGGCTGTATAAAATGTTATTTTTCATGTGGGCTACATTCAATTTTTCTTGGGGATTGTCTCTTAATTTCTTTTAGAACATAACCCTTTTAGAATATAACTCTGCATAACACTTTTCTTTAAAATACCATATTCATCATTTGTTGCAACTTTCCTGTTTTGTTCTCCTCTCGAGAGGAGAAAAGAATTCTTCATTCCCCATATCCACGATTGCTTTGAAGAGGTCTTCTTTTACAAGCTGTAAGGCATAGACTGCACCTGAAGAAGTCTTCATTGGTTTAATTTGCACTTTTGAACTACATCTAATCAAAGATGAATATCACTATAATATGGTCAGGTTGAATATTTTGAAAGGCTTATGTTAAAAACACACTATGAAATATTACTAGAATTTGCAGAAGAGTTAGTTCTAGCTTGAGCAGTGTAAAAGAAATTCTGGGCTCAAAATGAATTATTTGAATGTGAGAAAACTGTATATTAATATATTAACAATTGATGAAAGACAGAGAGAGATGTTGTAATACGTCTCAGTCACAAAAATCCGTAAGAAACAGTACAAGCTTTGTTAAACACTTCAGTTCATAATTGGTGTTTTTTTCCCCTCCTAGCACAAGATTTTTTCCATGTTTTTATTTTCCTTGAGAGCTGTCAACATTTCAGTAGCTCAGAGATAACTAGACAGTTGTTTCCCTGAGATTTCCTGTTTAACAATTAAGTGTCAGACACTTTCCCCTAGAGATTAAAGCTTCCTGCTATATTGACTATAATCTGATGGCAGATCTTAGAGCTTCCTATCATGGTGTCCTCAGATCAGTTTAAAAACTGCAGCATTAAATGGTGTATTTCTCTCTCAGACTAAAGGAAAACCAGTGCTCTTCCACTAAAATAAAGAATAACTGATCAGAATAAATGAAAACAAATTTAAATCTAGAATATGTGTATATATAAACAATTTTAATTTTTGTATTTCTTATTAAAAAGTGCACATATAGATAAGCATATAAAAACACTTAAGGGAGTTTTAAGGATAAATTTGAAACTCAGTCTAACCTCATAGGTGTGTTTTATGCCTGTTCCTTTTGGAAAAGACCTGTAATACATACCACCTTTCTACTGAAAAAGAAAGAAGAAACTCCTCCATATTGTTGCATCTCTCTGGATTGAATTGATAAGGGTTCTGCAATGCCAGTGATAATGCCAGGGACTTACTCAGTGAAAAGGATTAAGTTATTGAGTCACTTGGAACATTCTCGTTATCTTACTTTAAATGATGAGTTTCTCTGAACTTCAGAACAGTACAGCCTTCTGTACAAATGGACAAATGGTTACTTCCACCAAAGCTGAAGAGATTGGTAAATGCACACTAGACTTGTAGTAGATTTTTCTCCTTTGTGAACAGATCTTTGTGCTTCAAGGGCATACATACCCATGGGCCGTACAAAACTATTTAGCCTGTCTCTGATTTAGTGTATCTTCAATCTCCAGTAAACTGACAGTAATGGAAAGACACAGCATGACTTTATATTAGTCAGTCTTGCAAATCAGTAGTAAGGACTGGCAGAGTAAGTTGAACTGTTTTTTAATCCTGCTGCTTTGAACAGGCCAGTAATATTGCAATGTAGAATCTCAGATCAGAGGAAAGTAAAATTCATTTAAATAGCCAGCCTTAGTTCTGTGTTGAGAAATAACTTTGTTTCAGTGGTTAATTCAGTTGGGTACGAACACATTAGCGGCTCAGGTGCTTCCATTAACAGTGACAGCATTAGTCCAGCACCTAACACTGCCCCATTCCACAAAAGGATCCTGGGACTGGCAGCAATACAAGATTATCTGATCAGCTGTTCTGAAATAGTACAAAGCAGCTTACAACACAAATATAGTAAATACTGGTTGGCCCATTCCTTGATACCAGTAGCTAGCAAGAATACTCACAAAATGTAACCTTTATTTGTAAAATGTGAAGCTCTGGAAGAGAATCTGAGCTACTCGAGAAACACATATATCAAGATCTTTGACTGAATTGCTGAGAAATACTATTGTTCAAGGAAAGATTTTAGTAATAGCTGTGAATTCAAATGGAAATATGACTGTCTCACCACTGAGGAGAATCGTGGATTCGCTTGGAAAATGGCAGAACACCTAAGAAGTTTCTTGAAGAGTAATTTCCTCTCCTCTTGTTCTTTAATTTCACGTCACAAGAAAGACTCTCACTTTATTCTGTGGTCAGCTATTCAGCTATACAGAGAAAAACTGTATTGTATTTGAAATAGTTGATTACATGCTTTGTATAAAGCAGAAATTCTGCTAGGCTTAGGTCTACGTAAAATATGAGAGAGCAGTTGAACACAACAGATGGAAGAAAGCAACAGGTTATTTGGTACCTGATAATTACATTAAACTGTTATAAATAATAGTTGATGCTAACAAATTTATGTCCAGTGTTTAAATACGGACGTGTTTTAAGGACAAATTGAAAGGTTAATTTATTCTTCTGATTTGGTAAACCATGAAGGAAGCTCTTTGAAAGGAAAGCATCCTTTTCAAAAAACAGAAATATATATACATATATATATATATATATATGTCTATATATATAGTTGTATAAAAGGTGAATATAGATGCTGATGGTGGAAGCTAGAGTCAATTGAAAGAGAACATGGTTAGAATGATAATAGATTGGGGAAGCCCTCAGACAAGGTAAGAATCCATCTTTCTTTTTTTTCAGAGTAGACATTGCCTGTGTTCCAGAAAGCTATTTATACTTTGTATGTGAGAGCTCCTTCTCAAGAGAGCTTTTATCCCTCTCACTTACTGAAGTGGATTATTGCAGATGGGATTGTACCCTATTCTCAGTAAACAAAATCTCTTGAACTATATAATAAGATCAGGAGGACTGCTAATGCCTTGGAAGGAAAGACTGAACTATCGGGATGGTTTTATTATACAGTTTTTCCAACTTCCATTCACTATAGAAATTGTCCATGCAGGGTTCTGCATTTTTTACAACTTGCCTATGCAGTCTGGGATTTTATTTTATTTTTTTTGAGCGTATGTTTGTTTCTTAATAAAAAGAACTAAATGAATGGCAAAAAGATACGGAACTTATCTTATAAAAAGGTGGATGAGTACAAGTCAGGAGAACTTCTTTTGATTCTTAGCTTGCATTTATGGAAAAGAAAAAGAAAGTGAAAAAATGTATTATGCACATTACTACTGCTAGTATTAATAATGTTGTCATTGTTTTTAGGCTGTGAGAAGGCAAAAGAGTCTTGAACAGAGTATTCAATCTGCCCAGGAGACTGACAAAACCCTCCGCTTAATTCAAGAATCTCTTGCTGCTATAGACAAACAGCTGACAGCCTACACTGCAGACAGAGTTGATGCAGCACAAGTGCCTCAGGAAGCGCAGGTAAGTTATATATGGGTTGAAATGATGTGCTTGCCGGTTTATTCAGTAAACCAAATAGTATTTGTTTGTCCCACAGCCTCATAGTACTGGGGAAATGACAACACAATCAGTTTGAATGTGCAAGTAAATTTTAAGTAAGATTACTTTGAGAAGGTCAAGCAAATTCTCTTAATAGATGTGTATTTTCCTTCTGGTTTATTTTCTGTACCTGTCCAGAAGATATAAAGAATTATAAATATCCTGGAGGACTATTAAGTAACTTTAAAATTGCCGAGGTAAATAAACACTGTGACTCTAAAATCCAGTTCCCATCCTTGATGAAGTAACCCCTCATCTTCAGTACTCGTAGATGCCTTTTGTGCTAAATTGATTACATGGCCTAGGAATTGTTACTAAATTATTGAAGTGTGGACAACATTATTACTTATGTTATAGTGTACACATTAATATGCCTGTACTTCGGTTTTTACAGCTCACATAAGTTGAAAAAGTCAGCTTTTGGTATTCCTTTAGAAATGGTTTGTTGAGCATCTGAAGTAAAATTTTCCATCTAATTCTCATTTTTACTCTTTCATTGTTTGCTCTATCACATCTGCTTCTAGCAATATTAAAATGGTAAGAATATAACTTTAAATAAAATCAATTAACTCTGGCATATATACAAAAAGACTACAATATGAAAGTGTACTTTTTTTGGTGCAACTTTTCAGTACATTCCACTTAAATTTAGGATAATAGATTACACACACACACAAAAAAAAAAAGGCAGGAAAATTGAAAACAGATGTTTTAAAATGATTGTTAGATGAAGCATTCTTTCTAGCCTGCCTGTAGAGTTTAAAATCATTGTAATATATAGGTGTCTTATTCACATATTATTTTATTTATATTCTGAGCTGAACATACATAGCCCTGAAAGTTTTGTCTCCCTTAGAAATAAAAGTTTCCATGTCTTTCGAATTAAAAAAAAAGGTAGAACATAGATAGTTGTTCCTTTTACTTGCATTTCTGGTTTGTGTATGTTTTTATATACACACAGGTATTTTTATGTGTGTGCATATAAAGAAAAAGTGATATTTAGAATACAGGATTGTATTTGTATTGCTTCATTTGGAAGATGATTCTAATTTATTTTCTTCTAACTTACATTATTGTAAAAATGGCAATATATTTTTCCACTTTGAATCCTAAGCTGTATTAGTTAAGTGTTGAACTTCTGAAATTATTTTATTCCTTCCTTGAAAAGTGAATAATGTAAATTATTTTTACATGAAGTAGAATGCAAAGCAACATTTTTATTTTTTATTTTGTTAATGTGTATGGGTTTAATTTCTCATCTGGTTTTTATTTATCTCCACTACACAAGAGAAACTTGATACGAAAGTGTGCTTTTTTTGGTGCATTTGGACCCCTATACATTTTATTGCTTTTCAATTTATATATGCCACAGATGCATCTGGTTTGTGTACATCTTCAAATACAAAATTGACAATGATCACAGGCTGTGTCAAAGGAATTAATTCAGAACTTCAATAACTGAAGCAACATAGAACTCAACTACTCTAAATTGGCACACTATGTCATGGGATAATTTCAGCGGATTGCTTTTGCAGAACTTGCTTTTATTCTTGAGATTTTGTTGTCTGATGTTGAATTCACCTGATTATATTATACCCACTGTGGGGAAAAGCAGCATAGAAGCTGCTGTCTTTTTCTCTTTCATGTTTTTATTTTAAGATGCAAGTAGAACCTAATGAAAAAAAAAATAACAAGTGAACAAATTTAATGCAAATGTTGAAGGTCTTTGAAGTTCAGTTGTGAAGTTCTTTAAAATCCTTAGGGGAGAAGGGAATATACAATCAAGTTTACACAGGTAAGTATTCTGAGTTATTCAATTAGTGAATGGTTCTGCTAACCAGTGTCACATCTCCTGTGAAGCATCTGCAGGCATAGCTCACTTGTGGAGTTGAGAACAGCAGATTAGTATAAGGCATCCTACAATATTGTCTACACAGCTGGAATGGGAATATTTCAGTCAATTATGCTGATTTCTCAGCAGAGGTCAGTTTATCCTTGCTAAGAGATTTAGCAAACTGTTCAGCCAATACATTTAGTATTTCTAAAAGAGCATCTGGAAGAAGTTACCACAACAACAACAATAATGATAAAAATAATAATAATAACAACAACCTGTTAAAGATTGGGAAGCTTTATGCATCTCCTTGTTTGCTTCAAAAATTCAGAGTTAAATATGTGCTACTTAACTTTTTTGGATCAGTTTTGAATGTAAATTCCACATGCTTCTTACACCACCATGTGGCACTGTGAATTTAATGCTTGAGAGTCACTACTACCCGTCATTTTCTCCTTACTGATTCACTATGAGGGCAACTAAAGATGCTGTATTCAGATAAACCAATCTACAACAACCATGCAAATAAATCAGTTCATATTCCTCAGGCTGTAATGATTTGAAAAAGAAAAAGGAAAAAAAATTAAAAGCTGGAGTGAGGTTAGGCCTAAAAGAATATAACAGATTTGATTGTATGCTTGATCTGATCTCATTATCCCTACTGTGGTCTCTTTCATTTCTCTAAGAAATGAGAAAATACAAGGAAGGAAATCATCGTAGGAATTTGCTAGTTGTTGATGCAAGTACTCTGTAGCTGAGAAGCGAAAATAAATCTGAACTGAAAATATTAAATTTATATGACAAAGTATTTTCAATATAATTATTTGTAGCTTTGTTATTAACTTCTGGTGAGGAGAGAGAATCTACACATTGTGCTGCTCTTTAGTCTGAGAGATAACTTTTTTTTTATAATATACATATATATATATATATGTATAATGTGACAAATAACTTGTCTGTTGTTGTCCCTGTAGACATAAGTAAAATGCAGCGTAGAAACTGTGTTTCTCAGGAAAACAGAACTACCAGACTTTGTCTTTCCAATAAACTACTTGAATAATTTCACTTCAATAGTCATGAATAGTACACACTGTTTTCTAAGTAACAATGGTTATTAATCTGTTATTAAAATGTCATCATGCTGTGGTCAAACAAGTTTATATGAAACTATAACGCCAGAGGTTTTTAACTCAGTGGTCCATTATTTGACGAAAGTAATGTCATACATAATTATCTTCAGACTTGAGTTATGAGATGAAGACAACACAGTTATTTACAAAGTAAAATGGTTAGTGTTAAACATATTGTCATCTATTCTGCTCTGTAAATGCTGAGAATTACTTTGTTCAGTCACATGTAGAAGATGAGGCTAAAAACAAATTAGGAACTAGTATTTAAACATTATTCAGTAAGTTCTTTTGAGAATTTACTAATATGCTGATCATGCCAGCACAGTCAGTATTGACTGGATTAGCACAATATTGAGTTAGTAGATTTCTGGCATTCAGTATAAAATACAGTGTTGTCAACCAGTGTGAAATTAAGACATTTTGGAGGATGATGTGCAGTATAATACACATTTCTTATGATTGTGTCATATTCATGAAATTACAGTCAACATATTTCTTCTTTCATAAGGTCAGACAAAACAGATAAGAGGTTTTCTTCAGTTCTGGGATGGAAAATGGTATCCCTCACACGGGAAAGTAATTTCCCTAATGTTTAATTGAATGTTTTCAAAATTTATTGTAATTTGTGATACTAGATAAATTGGAACTCTTTGCTATTTTCCTAGAGTTGTTTCTTCTACATTGATCATACTGTCAAGCCTTCTCTTGCAAATATTGTTACAGAGTTTGTTTGTATGCCTTGTTAGCATTTTTTCCAAATGTTTTTCTAGAAGCACAAGTTTGCAGATAGATTTTTTACATTCTCACAAATTTCAAGTGAGACAAACAACTTGTTAGTCAACAGTCAATAGTGACTAGAGGTAGGCAGGGTTTCCCAACTGTCTATAACACCAAGTGTCTGTTGTTTGTTTCTTTGTTTTCATCTGTAAGTACTTCTAATGACAATATGTATTTGGTCTTCTAAATATGACTGTGTATGTATGTATGTATGTATGTATATAGTGATAGATAGATACAAATTAATGATCTGCCTGAGAAGAATGCCAAACAGTGATGGAAAATGAATATCTTTACCTGTAGGACAGGATAATTTAATTACAGTTGCATTCATTAGTTACATATTTGCTGCAAAGATTTTGCAAAATGGACAGGAACAAAATGGACTGAGGAAAGCAGATATGGGAATGTTGGAAATGAAACTTAGTTGCTTTGTATGGACATTTAGAAGAAATCTGTTGAATAAATTTGCTTGTCAAAAATTCATGAAAATATAATAAATGACTGTGTCAAAATTGCATGAACAAAGGCATCACAGGCAGGTGTTACAGATTGTCTTGTATTCGGGACTGATTTAATCTTTCTGCTAAGGCAGAACAGCAGTGGCAAGTACAGAAAATCTTTTCATGGTATAATCTGTACTACTTATCTTTCAAGTTTTTCCACAATGTTTTTTTTCCTCTCTAATTCAATATTTTGAGGTCAGTGTTGGTAATGTTTCTTCTCTCTCCTGCACAGCAATTAAAACAAATAAACTCCTCTTCTTCATTTGCATAACTAATTATAATACTTTTGACTACAGTTTTCATATTTCACCAATTAATTGAGTATAAGATAAATGTATTTGAGTATATTTACATTTATAGTTAGATTTTTGTTTGTTTGTTTATACTGGAATACCACAGAAAGAAAAATGTTAAATCTAAAATCACTTTTTAGTGCCAGAGTAATGGCCTGAAACAGCTTTTCTTGTAGAGAAATACCTGGTCTTTATTTCATAAGGTAATTGTTCTCAGAAGTACTTTTCCAGCAATTCTGCTAATATCAGATTCTCATTTTTTAACTATTTCAACATAAAAATATGTAAATTTATCTGAAGTATGTTGTGTTGGTATGCAGTATGTGAATTCTTTTCTATCATACTGTACTAACTAACATTAATTGTTTTTGAGCTTGATTTATGGTAGCCAATAAGGCTGGTATTTTTTAATGACTTGGTTGTACACTGATTCTGCAGAAGAGAAAACAGAACTGTGTGTGTGAAAATGAATGGAATTACTGCATCAGTGAACTAGAGGTCCATATGCGTTTACCATATCTGCAGACACTGATCATAGATTCTAGTTCAGTAATGCATCATAAATTGCATACTGATTTAGATATGGCACAACTGTGTCAGGTAAAGATGTTACGTGGACAGCATATTTTGGTCAGATTTCTGTCGATTTACTGGATTATAATATGAAAATAATGAAAGATAAACAAAAAAAGTAAATCACTTTTCTATTTGTGTTTTTATTTTCTGTGATTAATTTTTGATTTTTATCCCAATGAATACCGTTGCTTTCCTTCAGAAGAAAGGAAAATCTATATTTTTGCCTGCAGCTTCATCAAAATTGTCTGAGTAATATTACATTGTCTTTGCCACATTAGAGAACTATATGCTTGTGTAGGAGATGGTGATCAAGAGAAACTAAACTGAATAATATACAGGGCAGCGAACAAGCAATTTACTGAAAAAATTCCTCTAGTTATCCAGTATATAGAATATTATTTTTTTTAATGTGCTTCCAAGTCAACTGTACCAAATAATTTTAACAAGATAAACATTTTCTTGAAATACTTCTGACTATATTCTTTGTTCTTCAATAGAAAATACAATCTGAATTAACAAGTCATGAGGTTAGTTTGGAAGAAATGAAGAAACGAAACCGAGGCAAAGAATCTGCAAAAAGAGTCCTTTCCCAAATTGATGTGGCACAGGTATGCATATTTTATTTCCAACATCTTTCCTTCAATCATGCAAACAGACAGCCTTAATAATATTGTTACTATACTGTGAGATATTATTATGGAGGTGTTTCTTATGTTTTAACTATTCCTTTCTAATCAGAAAATCGGAAGGACGGAAATATTTAATTCACAGAATCACAGAATCACAGAATTGTAGGGGTTGGAAGGGACCTCCAGAGATCATCGAGTCCAACCCCCCTGCCAAAGCAGGTTCCCTACAGCAGGTCGCACAGGTAGGCATCCAGGCAGGTCTTGAACATCTCCAGAGAAGGAGACTCCACCACCTCCCTGGGCAGCCTGTTCCAGTGCTCCGTCACCTCACTGTAAAGAAGTTCTTGTGCATGTTTGTGCAGAACTTCCTATGCTGTAGTTTCCGGCCGTTTCCCCTTGTCCTGTCTCCACTCACCACTGAAAAGAGTCCGGCCTCACCATTCTGCCCCCCACACCTTAGATATTTATAGACCTGGATCAGGTCCCCTCTCAGTCTTCTTTTCTCAAGGCTGAACAGACCCAGTTCACTCAGCCTTTCCTCATAGGAGAGATGCTCCAGACCCTTCACCATCTTCGTGGCCCTCCGCTGGACTCTTTCCAAGAGATCCCTGTCTTTTTTGTACTGGGGAGCCCAGAACTGGACACAGTACTCCAGATGAGGTCTTACCAGGGCAGAGTAGAGGGGGAGGATCACCTCCCTCGACCTGCTGGACACGCTCTTTTTAATGCACCCCAGTAAGCCATTGGCCTTTTTGGCCACAAGGGCACACTGCTGGCTCATGGCCAACCTGTCATCCACCAGGACACCCAGGTCCCTTTCCGCAGAGCTCCCCTCCAGCAGGTCATGCCACCTGATTGCCTATTTTTCCATTGCAGGCTATTCATCTAGTTGGTAACAGTTCTAGGACAGAGCTGCTTAAGTAACTTGTTCCAATATCACAGTATTAATTTCTAGTGATTGTATGTACAGATAGTATCCATTTGTGGTTTTGCAATGATGTTTTGCATTCCTCTTGTTTTACTGGCCCTTGGTTGTCTCTTTTCCAGACTGAGTAGTATGTTTACATCACAATGAGAGCTTGAGACATACAGTTTTGATTGCTCTGTCATTCTTCGTTATGCATTTTCTATTTTTACAGGTTGTTTTTTGAGATGAGTGGTTCAAAATTACACAGAGTGTTTGAACACGGTATAGCTTTGTGCGACAGCTGTTATACCATGACAAGAATTTTCTCTTTTGTTCTTTATGTTCCAAATCAGTCCAAATATCTACTTTGCTTTTTAGGTTTCTTTTAGTTGTTCATTTGATATTTCCTTAAAATTGTTGGACATAAGTATGTAATGAATCAATTATAGTGTGATTATGAGTAAGAGTGGTATAGATGATATAGATATTAATTATTATTAGTTACATAAAAAAGTATAGCTTGTAGTTGTATGGTTGATTTTTTTTTGTCATGTGCATTACTTAATTTAATTGGTATTAAATAATATATATATATTTTTAACAGATCTGCAGTGCTGTGCAATCCTTCAGTGACTTTTCTCTACCACTAATAACACATTTCTCTGTTTTCAACGTCATGTTTAATATATTGATCACCATAAATAGTAACAGATAGAGATAGGGCATTGCAGGCTTCCCACATGACTTCATCAAGCTGAAGTATCACAAGAAGATGAAAAACTAATTAACTATGAATTTAGTGTATGCAAACACTCTGTAAAAATGTGAGACCATTTATTCCTAATCTTTTTTTCCTATTCCAATCCATTTGTTCACTTCTTTATTCAGAGAAATACTTCTCTTCTTAGCCCATTGGATCTCAGTTTAATTATTAATGTTTAACAAGTAATGCAGTTGGAAAGAAGTGTTGGAAATCTGAGTTTTCTGTTGTACCCACGACACTGTAGTCTTTCACTAATATAAAAGTGCAATTCCTGACTCCTTCACAGAATTCTAACAAATAGGTGAAACATTATTTCCATTTTCCAAAATTATCCTAATTTTTACAAATGCTATGTTTCTATTTAAACCCTATTTCTGTTCCTTATTGCAGTTCTTTTCAAATTTGTATAGTACCGAAAAAAATGTTTTGGTATAATGTGTCCAAGATTTGAAGACAGAATATCAGAAGAGTGTTTGCAAATGCTGAATTCCTATTTAATTATCCTTTTCTCAATGACCATTCTATTTTTCAAACAGTAGAAAAACTTAACTTACTAGTAATTTGCTCTGTAATTCTAAAGATGAGCAGGTTCTGGTTCTTGTAGGTAATTAAGATGTCCTTTCCTTGTTTAATTTCTCATTATTTTCCTTTCCCCCGATGATCACATAAGCAAACAACATAACTTACTGATAAAGATATCCAACTGTGAAAATTTTGAAATTAAAAGCCATGCTTGCCATAGATTTTTTTGCCTTCAGATTAATTTCTTCTTATTCTAGGTTATGTTTCTTGGTTTTTTTTTGTTTTGTTTTGTTTTTTTTTTTTTAATTGAAATTTAACTTTGTACTTTAAATCTCATTTTTTTGTGCTAGGCCTACTTACTGTCCAGCAACTTTACTTGGGTTTATTTGAGGGTTTATTGAGGTTTATTTTGACTAAGAGTGATGCTAATAGCAAGAAGAAGCAACATGGTTGAGAGCTGATGAGCATCCATTCTGGATCTCTTTGTATTATGCTCAAGCCATTAAACCTACATTTTCTCTTCACCTTCAACATTATACATATTGTGAAATATGAAAACTTTCCCTTTCTTCAGTTCAGTATACAGGCTCTCTTGACACTGGCTGTACTGCACCCAGTATCCTGGATTATGCAAGATTTTTTTCTTCCCATGGAAATCAAGATTGTCTGCTGCTGGTATTTTCCCCAAAAGATTTCAGACATTTGAATGAAAAGCTGTGCTGATTGATCATGGGTTCTGAGCATCATGGAATGGATCCAATAATTGTCTTTAATGTTGATGTTATTTCACATCTGCTGCTTAACTCCTCTTTTCAGAAAAAGCTTCAGGATGTCTCCGTGAAGTTCCGCTTGTTTCAGAAACCAGCTAATTTTGAACAGCGTCTACAAGAATGCAAAAGAATTTTAGATGAAGTGAAGTTGCAAGTGCCCAAATTGGAGACGAAGAGTGTTGAGCAGGAAGTAGTACAGTCGCATTTGGACCACTGCATGGTAAATACATTAGATGTTCATTTCCTGTCTATTTTGTCCTCCAAACGTAAAGTATTTGCTGTGATCGTTTCAATATAACTTTGCAAGAGATATTAAGAATCTGAGAAAATTTAAGAGGAAAGTTTTGCAACAAAAGTCATAGGAACCATTTTAAGTAACGGGCAATTTTCAGGAAGGTTGGAGAGTGGACGTTAGAAGTGAGGGAAGACAGAGAGATTTGTCCTTCTTTTTCAAATAACTAAAATGGAAATGGAATTAGAAGAACATTTAAATCTGTGTTCACTTTGAAATTTTGCCAGGCTATCACTGCATGGTGAAATAGCTTTAGCAATCTTAAAGTGACATGGTGTTGTCTTCTTCTGCCATGGCAAAGAAACATGGGATACATTCATGAGTGAAAATCTTTGAAAATTTAAGTTTATATGGACTAAGCTAAAGATTACAGAATGTTGCCTGAAATTTAAGATGAAAAAAGAAGTATCAATCACTAAAATTGTAAAAAAAAATAAAATCAATAAGATTATCAAAACATTCTTTTTTCAGTGAACAATGACTATGAACTTTTACTATATCAATATACAATTTGGAGACATTTTCTAATCCCCCCATCCAGTGCTGCATATGAGTTTCTCTTCCTGGGTGGCCTGTATTTCCCACAGTGTGCTACAGTCATGAAAGTCCATAATATAACCAGGAGTGTTACAATGCATTGAATTTATTCTAGTTGGGAAATGGAAAACATACAGAATACCCTGGTTACTCACAGTACAGCTTTCATGAGTTGTCTTGCTATGACTTTTTATGGTACAAGAGTAAAAGACCTGAATATGTCCCAAAGAGTATGAAGAAAATCTGTATTAATCACATTAATACCCCTTTGTCATTGATAGGCAGTAGAGATAAAATTGAACATTGTGATGACAATAGTAAAATGGAGATTTTAACAGCAAATATCAGAGCAATCATATAATTTACAGTGTTGTTTGTTTTTGTTTTTCTCACACTTCAGCATGCCTGTAGACAGTTTTTCTCCTTTATCCTCTTTCAGATCTAAATGTAAGAATTGAAATTAAAAAATAAGGATGGAACAAGTTGATGTTGTTTCATTATTTACTAGGTTTTACTTAAATGCAATTGCCCTTTAATTCATATTTTTATAAGAACAACATGGTAATTAGAAGCCCTGTACTAATTAGTTTCACTAAGCAGTTAGCTTTTTTAGCCCTATAACTTTCATGCTCTAAGGATGTGTTTATAGAACATCTTTCTCTGCAACAAATCTATAATATTTATTTTAAAAAATCTAGTCGTATTATCCACGTTCAGGCCACAGCCACTGCCGCCCCACGGGCTCTTGCATCATGGATGCACACGGAGGTCTGCTCTGCATGGTGCCTGTGGGCTGCAAGGGGACAGCCTTCTTCTCCATGGGCCTCTCCTGGGCTGCAGGGTGTTTCTGCTCCACAACTGGAAAACCTTGTATTCCTTCTGTATTGACCTTCATGGGTACAGGGTAAAGACAGGTTGTTTTGAATCTTGTAATTTAATTTCTGGGAAAATTAAATATATACATATATATACATATATATAAGAAGTTTTCTCATGAACTTCTGTATGTACTTGATACATACGAACACACTCAGGGTGAATTTTCTCCACCCTTAGGTCACCTACTTGGTATCTACTGAGCACTCTCAGCTCCTCTAATTTTCAAATAGGAGTGAATGGTGGTCAGTCATGTGTAATGATGTTTTTATGCAGCAAACAATATGAAGAATTCTACTGCATCTATTACTTTGTAATATCTTCAGTAGTCTGTTCTTTTTTACTTATTTTAATAGGGGTGTTTCTCTTTCATAATTCTGTTTGATTAGAAATTATATAAAAGCCTGAGTGAGGTGAAGTCCGAAGTGGAAACAGTGATAAAAACTGGGAGGCAGATTGTTCAAAAGCAGCAGACAGAGAACCCAAAGGAACTGGATGAAAGGCTTACAGCTTTGAAGTTGCAATATAATGAATTGGGTGCGAAGGTAAGCTGTATGTTTTGTAATAAAAAATTATGCACTCTTTTAAACTGACAGCAGTGAAGAATAAGCTTGGTATGGTAAGTTAATGTTCTTTTTTACTGGTTACTTTCAATGTTTTCACATTTTCTTGATGGTGTAGAAAGAATGGAAGCAAAGGCAATTGTCAGAATGGCTATTCCGTTGTCCTATTAAAAAAAAATGACCTTCTGGAGAAATAGAAAATTGCTTTGTTAAAGTTTAAAATTATACTTCCTTAAACTTTTTACTTATTTTTTTTCTCCAATTTTTTTGCCATGTTTTGTTTTGTTTTGGCCAGAAGGGGGTCTTGTTTCCTTTCAATGCCTCAAACAAACACTAACTTCAAAACACTTCAAGTCAGGAAAATACTTAGGTTTTCTTTGTGATTTTTTTCACATTTTTTCCCCTAAAGAACTGCTTGATAAAAGAGAGAATTGTACTTTTCATTTTCTTTGCCTCTGGTTCTATAGATCATTATGTATTTTGTTTCTATTTATTGCTGTCCAAAAATCTATTGACCAAAAGTTCTTGCTATTGCAGCTTTCCCCAGGAGGCATTCGTGTAGGTCTTTGGTTTGCTTCATCTGCACTCTTGACTTTAACTACACATAACATTCAGTTCTTGTCATAACTGTTTCCTGGTTTGAATCTGTAAAACCCCGAGTTTCCTGGTTGCTGTGTCCTAGTATACAAACTATGCAGAATATTGTTTATTAATGAGTGTATGGAGTAGCTGTCCCACTGTTTTATGTCTCAGAAATGAGCAAGCTTTTTTTTTTTTTTTTTTTTTTTAAATTTTGTTGTTTGTCATCCTCTGTTGCATAAGTGCCCTCAGATTTCTTCATGTTGGATAACAGTGCCTTTGAGCTCTATAATCAGGAATGTATTAATAGTATTAATGTATTAACAGTTCAAATAGAACTCTTTAGGAAAGTCTTTTAAAAAATTGTCTGATATTTATACAGTGCTCAGTTTGACCACTTAATATTTGTTACTGCATAGTTAGGAGGACTACATGACTACTTTCCTAGTATTAGATCTCTAAATGTTATAGTCTTTTACCTTATGTTGCTAATAAATTATATTATTATATATTAATTTTATGTAACTAACCTTCTAGAACTTGTTGCTATTAATCTCCTGAGCATAGACTTTACTTGTGTAAAATTTTCATTTGTACGTCATCTGTTTCTATATCAATTCATATACTGTTAGAAGCTGCTATGCTTCCTAAAAGAACAGTATTTTCATTTAAACAAAGTTTCCCTAAGATTTAAATAGACAGTGTAAAAGGCAGACTGCTAACTAATATCAACAAGATTAGGTCCAAATAAATAAAGAAATTTGTGTCAATTCCTAAGGCTTTTTATTCTGATTCTGCTTATCTATGCAAGAGGTTGCCTGCTGATGAGGGACAATCCTCCATAAGAACTGTTGATCTATGAAGAGAAGTTGTGGCATTATCCAAAGGAAAAAGTAATACAAAACATTCAGCAGCTGTCCTGAGTTCCCTGCCACTCTTTAAAACAGAGATATTAAGAGACATCAGTCTTTTGAGTGTAAAGAAGACTGAAAAGTCTGCTTCATTAAGGTGTGGATAGTACCATTTGAGAGTAGATGATACATTTGTTTTCTCCATTATTTTAGAATGGACTGCAGCATTTTTTCCTTCATTATATTTAACATAACTGCAGCAGACAGGTGCCATTATTAGAGGGGACCTTTCAACTAATGAAGTGATAAAAATGTGCCATTAGGAAGCCATTAGAAATCTAAGAGAGCAACACCGCTAATTAATGTCTCTCAAAAAATACATAGTGCTTTGTTTACCACTGTTGTCCTAGATTTAATTTTCCACATTTACTTTCACATATAATGGTAGTTAATGCTTTTAGAGGGTCACAAAGGCTCAGAATTACAGAACTGAACTGATCACTGAGCCATATTCAATCCTAATTTGTTGTGCTGATTTTGGAGAACCACAGCTTTTCTTTTTATGGAAAACCTGATAGTGGTAATAACTGATAGTAGTCCCAGGATTGAAATCAGTAGTCTGAGGAGATAAACACCCTTCACGTTTAGACTGATGTGCATTGTCTCCTACTGCTTCAGGAGGGCCTCCATATTTAAACCAATCCTTAATAAGCACATTCTTAGGGATGTGAAATGGGTTTAATTTAAATGTACTGAAGTGTTGTGCTCTCAAGGCAGAAAAATTACAATTATTACTAATAGTTTCACACATCTCTCAGTAGAGTTTTTCTATATATTTTAGATACCATTACTGTAGAATGAACCTAGAAATCCACTTACAGGTGGGAAAAGGTTTCTTTTTATTTACTTTTCTTATTATCGTATGAACATATGAACATAAATTCCTATCAATTCCTCTGGTAGTATCAGACCTTAAACCTCTTTCACTTCTGTAAATGAGTTTTGTGTACTCAGAACATCGAGTTTTGCCCTTCATTTTTAGCTGAATATGCTCTGAAAGCGTGATGAATAATTTTGAAAATTTAGTAGTGGCCTCAGTGTGCATAGGTTTGAGATGAGATTACAGGAAACTAAAATGTCATTTGAATATCATGGAGCAGAGATTGCATTTATGATAAACATTCCATGTCTGTTCTTGCATTCCCTCATGCATATTCTGTATCACAGACATATGTATGCATATGTACACATGAACAGCTGTTACAGCTTAAGTAGTTTGTTAGTTGTGAAGCTGTTGCATAGAGTCTGTAGCATCCTTACTGCAAATCTCTTTATGCTAATTCAGCAGAGAAGAGACTCTCTGGAACAAAATGGCAGTAATCGTATTCTTGCTGCTCTACTAAAGGTGTTGCTGCTGTACAGACTATACTTGGAAGGTGAGGTGATTCCCCACAGTCCACTGCTGCACAAGAATTTGGCTATGCAACTTCAGCTATATTACTAAAAGGTTTTAAATACCTTTTGTTTTGCTTTAAGTATCTACTCCTCCCATTTTTATTTATTACAGCTAAAGAGTCTTGCAAGTAAACTATTTAACATAGCTGAAATAGTTTTAAAATATAGAGAAGGTTTATGGAGTCTCACTATAATGAATATAATGTTTGGTATCATTGTAGGAAACAGAAGGCCTTAAGAGGGCACTGTTTCCTATTTTTCTTCAGAAATACATCTTTATGTTTTAAGTACAAACAGAATCTGATGCAATTGTAACCTCCAGATATATACATCATAGATGGGAGTAGTGTAATATCACTGATATAATACCCAGCATTTAGAGATGTGTAGAGCAGCACAACTATTATTTTTGTGCTTGGGCAGATATCAGCAATTTCCTTTATAGTATACCAAGTGGTTATGGTTATTCTTACACAGGCAATCGCACATAGGGTAGTGCAGTTTGCATTGTATTTCTGCAAAGTACATGCAAATTGTGATTTAAAGTGACTATTAGTATTCCTCAGAAGAGGTGAAATGCATATGTAAACTCCAGGTTCCCCTTATGTGAATCTTTCTTTAGCTAAAAAGCTGAGTTTTATTGTCTTTCTTAGTGATTCCCCCTTGGCTTGACTGTAAATTCTGAGGTCTCATTTAATAAATTTGGTATACGAGAAAGTACTTAAAGTATATTCAGGGAAGAAAAGTTCTGAAGTTTCAGTGGTAAGCCTCTACAGAATAATATATGCAACCAGGGACACTTTGTTGCTTATTCCCTAAGCCAATCTGCTGTTTACTCTGGGAGAGCAAAAGTCATTCTATCGCCTTTAAAAACTTAAACTCTCCTTTGCTAGGACTAGGAACCAGTTTGGTCATTATGCCAGTGGTTCTATTCAAACAATTTCAAAGGCCCATCTTTTATTAGATGTTGGTTCCATTTTTGATTACCTGATGCTGCTGTAGACAATACTGCCAGCATCTGTACTCTTGAATAGGTCTTATACAAAGATGGGGAGAAAATATTATAGGATTTTTTGCCTCAAAGTCCTGGTTTCATAAACAACAGAAAGTCCTACTGTCAAAATATGAGAAAAAATAATCTCTGTTTATAAAATTAAGATAGGATCTTGAAATGGTAGTAAATAACTAAAATGTGGACATAGCTTAGAAGTTCCAGTTATTATATGGTCGTGCTTATTCAATATCAGTTTGCTTTCATTATTTATTTTACTGGGAGAAATACTGTAATTTAAAATAAACTGCAACTTAAATAAAAATTAGTGGCTACAATCTCTGTTGATAACTAATTGATATAATATACTTAGTCATCTTCTTTTAATATTTGTGATCCACTGCAGTTTCTGTCCACCTTCATTAATCAGCAGTTTTTAAATTTCTGCAGCGCATAATTAAATTTATATTTTCAAATTACCAATCTCTAAATGTCCACTTGTAGTGATGGTTTTCATGTGAGACCTCTTCACTTACTCTTCTGCCTGCCCTCCTAAGTATTCGGAAATTTACTTCTCTTCCTGAATGTGCTGAGGGGCTTGCAGAGAAGGTTGTATTCCCTCATCCTTCAGAATGCTTACCAAAATGTAATAGAGAACAGACACGACAAACATTCAGCTTTTCTTGCAGGTACCATGTAGTGTGCTTAAAAGAACAAATAAAACATGAATTGTCCATATTACTTCACATCAAAATGTTTGGCTTATGAAAATCCTAACTGAGAACCTTTGATGACAGAGTTGTTAATGTGGGAAATTGGATGATTGGAAGCTACTAGTGGAGTAATGACTTAAATAGGTCATGTTGGAAAGCAAGCTGTAAAGCATACAAGTGCTGCTGGTAAGTCTGTAGTAAAGACTCCCAAGTAAGAGACTGGCAGTCAAATTCATGGGATGTGCCCTAGAACTTGGACTAGTAATAGCTTTATGGGAAATGTGAACAAGAGCTGGTTCTCTAAGGAAACTAGAAATGACGAAACAAACTGGGAATAAGGAGGTTGAAATTGAAAGAGGGCTATGACAGAAGATGGAGGACAATTGAACAGAAGGTTGGGATAAAAGTCCACAAACTGCACTTCCTTTAAGAAATGTGTTAACATGGCTTACTCATAGTAAATACTTGTGTAACTCTCTAGAAATGTACATTCACCTTTCTTTTATTGGTTTATATGGAATCGAGAAGCATTATATTTAGTCAGTACCAAACAGAACTGCATGTGGATACTTGAGGTTGCTTTTTTTTTTTTAATATGTATCTTCATGCTAACAAACAAAAATAAACACTGTGAGAACTTATGAAAGAAGTATATATTACAAGTGTAATTTGCCTCATAAAATTTTCACTTATGATAAAGTAGCAGATAGATTATACTAAAAAAATCATCAAACCAGAGTTAAGAAACACGTGTTTTATTTCTACAGGTGACAGAAAAAAAGCAAGAGTTAGAGAAATGCTTGAAGTTGTCCCGGAAGCTACGAAAAGAAATTAATTCTCTGACAGAATGGCTTGCAGCAACAGATGTGGAATTGACAAAGAGGTCAGCTGTGCAAGGAATGCCTAGCAATTTGGATGCTGAAATTGCCTGGGGCAAGGTAACAATGTAACACGCACTGTACCTTTATACATCTCAGTTTATGCATATTAAAGAAGGTTTGATAAAAGGAATAGAAATTCTGGTTTTAATCAGCAGAACTTTATAACTGCTATGTTATTATTACAATCACTAATGCTTGAAAAAGTTTTAAGCATCTTAATCTCTCCACAGGTATATACTAGCACAATTCTACCCTGAAATGAGTTTGAAGTAGAATTTCATTTTTCAAAGAGTATTTTGGATTTTCCATCCAGTATCCATTGAAATAGAGATCACTTCTCTCTCATCTCATTCTACTTATGGCTAAAAGTTCCAGTAGATAAAAGAAGGATGTTAGAAATCTGTAGGTTTTGTATGTTCATATAGCAACCAAGGGGAGGAATATTTGGTTCTTTATCCTATTTGTGTTGTGACTCATTCCTTTTTTATCCCAAGGGCTTCATACTTTAATAATACCTTACTATGAACTCTTAGTTTAGATGAAAATGCAAATCCTAAAATGAAATTGTCCTCAAATTTAATACATGTGCCACAGAATAGATAATCTGACAGAATCACAAAGGCATGCAAGAGCTACATCGAGCTGCATATCTCTGTGGAATACTAAGATAGCTCAGTATCATTCAACACTAGCTAATTTGGTTTATATTCTGTATACATAAGGAAAATCCATTCTGACTCAGATCATAAGCAAACCAAACCATTATACAGACACACCAAAAGCTGTGCTTTTGAAGAAACCATGCTCATCATAATTCAGAGCTTCAAATTTTCAAAGAATTACATGCATCCAGAGATGTTTTGGAAAAGTACAGTTATATGATTCCAAAACAATACAACAAAAACCTGTAAAACTGTTTTTCTGTGTGTGAAAAATTAGCACTTTAGCTCTGCTTAATAGGAAAAATGCTTTAAACATCTTAGTGGTTTCAACATGCAATATAAATACGGTCATGAATAATGTGCAGGCAATTTTATGACTTCATAAAACACTGTAGTGGTTTCAGACACTGGAGTACAATTAGCTTTGTGTTTTCTATGGGTTTTTTGTATGTCTTTTCTGTTCTGTTTTTTACTGCCCATTTTCAGCTTCTGAGCTTGGTGTCATTAACATTGAAACACACCGATTATTTATGAAACAGGTACAAGAAAAAGAAAATCCTACAAGGGTTTGGTGAAGTATGGAATCATTTTTTGTTATCCTCAGTCTCTAAGACACTGCTTTTAAAAGTAGTGTCCAAAGATATGTTAAGATCACTTCTTACTAACTTACAGTTGCTTTTTGACTATTACTGCTTTGACTTTCAAAAACAAAAATCTTGTTCCATAAAAACTCCATAGCTGTTTGCTGTTTTCTACCTTTCACTTGCTGCCCTTCAAGTCTTACACAGTTCTTCTCATCACTTCTGCTTGTTACTGTGATCTTATCACACATAATGAAGTCACAGTTGTTGAAGAGATATTAGATAATCATACCAATTTAATGCCCCCTAACTGTGCTGCTAGATAGTCAGTGCATTTACACAGTGAATAGGAGAAAAATAATGTTTAATATTGCTGAACTATAAGGTATAGTTCTCTAAAAACAGAAATGTAAACTGTAAGTTTGTAGGTGCCTCTTCAGGAAAGCTAATTCAGATGGATGTAACTTCAAAGCAGCTTAAATGGAAAGACTTGTCTTTTAACTGTTAGATGTATTTCTTCAGAAATTGCATCACTTGAACATAAAGTTTGATGAATTGCACAGTTGCACAGTGGGAAGTCCTTGTTACATCTCACTGTTGATATGAAAAGTACATATTTTACTTTTTAATAACAAAAAAAGGTAACAAAATGTAATTGAAATGAGAAATTTTAACTTGAAAAATATATCGAGCAGATGAACTTACTAATCCTAAGAAATGCTAAAGTATTGTGAATTCTCATGAAGGAATTACTTCTGGTTGCAAAAAATAGAACTGGTAATGAGCAGATTTTGGCTTCAGCTCCAGAACCAATCTCTCTTTTGGGTCTGGCCTTATGTACTACCTCAGCTCTTCTGCTTCAGTCACTTGATCACTAAAATAAGGATAAACAACTCTTGTATGAAAGCAGCTCTTCTTGAAGTATGTATTTACTGCATATCTTTCATAAATCCTTTCTCAAGATTCTCTTTAGGGGAATATAAATCAATATTCCTATAAATATAAGCACATTATTAATTTTGAACAACCCAACAGCCTGGTGGCAAATCCAACCGTTCTAGATACATAATGAAATTATGTGATATATTTTTGCACAAATAATCTGCTCTCACTGTAGCAGGAAGCGTTGTGTGTTACATGAACTCTTTTAAAATCATTTTGAGGAGTTCACAAACAAGTATGCCACTGATACTTCTACGTGGATTTCAGTGTAGCATAGTACAAAATAGTACATCAATAATTCAGTCCCCAGTACCAGGCCATCACAGTATCTGATTAATGTCACAGCTTTGGGCTTTGGACTTCCTGTGTAAGTGGGCTACTGAAGACATTAACCAAATGTCTAACAAAATGTACTAGGAAATGAATTAGGCCCAGCAGATTGCCATTGTAAGGAAAGTATGCTGAAAACTAACGTGTGAAATGGAGAGAGATAGAGGAAAACTCTCTAGTGTGAATGAAATGAAAATTGGATGTGTGCTGCAGTCATTGCAACTAGGCAGATAACTCTTTTTCTTTACAGAAAAATCGGAGAAATCTTTTTCTTTACAGCACAGGGAAACAGTGAACTTATATTTATCACTGAACTTATTTCTAATTGATTTTCAGTACCAAAGTATTTTAAAACATGAAGGGAACTCACAGTTTCAAAGATAATTATAGAGGTTAGAAGAAAAAAAAATGTGAACATGAGAATGTTGACTTCAAGGTATAAACATCCAGAAGTAAAAAGGAGTAAGAAATGTCATTAATGAAAAATAATAATCTTTACATGAAGAGAATTGTACACATCTAGAGTTTTTCTAAGGAGGGAACAAAAAATTTTTAGCTGTTACTTGAAAAAAAAACAGGCAATGTAATGAAGGCTGTAAGTTCTGTCTTTTTGCTCAGCAGAGACAAGCTAAATCTCAGCACTTGAATTCAGTTCTGTTGTAATAGATAAGAAAAATGACATAGGAGTGGAAAAAGTCAGTAAATATTGTATATTAAGAAACCACTTATAATTAGAAGACTGAGTTAGTGAATGCATTTATCACAAAAGACATTAATAATTGTGGGGCTTATTTGTCTTTTAATCGGGAGCTGGTTTGATATGAATTTGATTGCCAGGAAAGCATGTTCTCAATAAGGAAATGCCAGGTGGTAGCACAAGGAAAGATTCTCTATCACTCACTATCAGCAGTATAATTCTACCAGTGCTATATGTTATATTTCAGCTGGAGAACGTAATACTAGTGAGTGTAAAGTTGAAGTACTCAGAAATACATTAGCTAACACATTTAGCAACGTATTTCCTGTCAGTAAAATCCATGAAATAAAATGATCTGAAAATTGTTTGAACTGATTCATAGTCAGTGGTCAGGATGTAATAAAAAATAAAAGATGTGCTGTGAATAAACAAGTAAATGTGTATAATCAGCCCCCCAAGGAGGCCATAATGTCAGTTCCTGATTAATTCTGTAATCTCACCCAGGAGAGCTCAACTACTTAGGTAATTTCTTTTACAGACGTTTAAATTATTAAGATTGTTTTAGAGTAGTTCAATATACAGGCTGTGTGGAGCCATATATAACTTCATCTTCTATCTTTTGTTGATTTTGAATTTTTAAATATACATCTGTGATATCTAAACTAATGGAAAATTAAAGTAGTATCCTTTTTGTTTAGCCACAGTTGAGATTTGCTTGGGGGAAGGAAAATAAACCCAACAGTTTGATACATAGCAGTCTTACCATTATGAACTGTTGCTCAGAAACCCTCTTCATCATATTATCATTAAAAAAAAAACAAACAGCAACAACAAAAAAAACACATTCCTATGTGGCTTCTGTTTTCAGCCATCAGTTGTTCCTAGTTAGTCTTTGCTGATGTGAAGGATGTTACAATTTTTTGCTTCCTGATGAGGCATCACTTAAAATTATTTCTAAAGTAAAACTCTTATTTTACTTTGCAGTTTCTTTCCTGAGACTTCAGTGGTAGGGACTTGAATGGTGGAATGGTGGGGATCAGGCCTAGCCAGTATAAGTTCACAAAAGGCAAGTTGCTTGACCAACCTGATCTCCTGCTATGATCAGTGACCTGCCTGGTGGGTGAGGAAAAGGCTGTTGAATAATTAATATGTTTTATTACTTTATATGCCTTACCAATATTATGTCTTTAATGAGGGCTGCTCTGAAAGTAGGTTATTCTGTTGGCCCACAATATCAGAGTTTGATGCTGGTAGTATGGCAGTGCCAACCTTCCCACCATTATTCCATTCCATTTTATTGCTGTGCAACAGATGGCAGCATAGGGGCAGTCTGACACATGGAAGTGCCTGTGAAGCAAAGTGCCTGTGGAATTGAATTCCTCCATCCTGACAAAAAAAGTGCATCATTGACATTCATCAATTCTTGCTGAACATTTGTGGAGACCAACAAGTAGATGTGAGCACAGTGATGTGGTGGGTGGTGCGTTTCAGAAGTGACAGTAGTGACAGTGGGTCACCTCTGCTGGTGCAGATATTTACAAGCTCGACATGCTGGTTATTGTTCATTTCTGGAAAAAAAAAAAAAAAGTGGCATTGACTATGTGGAAAAAGGTGTTTTTTAGCTGAGAATTTGGTTGGTCAAACAGTGTCATTGTGCTCTTTGTATCTGCTGGCATTTCCATGGAAATAAATAGGAGGCATTACTTCTGGAACGCCCAATGTATGTATGGTTTTTAGATTCTATGAGTAGTATTTTAATATTTTAGTTCACTGAGTAAAATCCCAGGTGAATACAATGAAAAAAGGCATTTCTACAGTTTGGAAAAAAACAAACAAACAAACAAACAAACAAAAAAACATTTAACAGGACAGAACATGGTTTCAGCTGAAAAAAAGATTGCACTGGCAAATATCAAAGGAATATTTAAAATCATTCATAAGACTAGTTTTGGTGGTGTTCTATAAGTCTTCAGATGTTATCATAATGCTTTGTTATTGTCCTATTTGTTATGTTAGCTTTATGTGCAATTTCATAGCTATGTCATTTTATTCCATCCAAATTAAATATCTTTAGGTAAATATTGTTAAAAATTGTTTTTTTTTTTTTTTTTTTTTTTGTTTTTTTTGTGTTAGTTTTTTTTTTTTTTATAATAGAGTATTAAAACTGTATTTTGAACATTGGAGTAAGAGCTAATTCATGATTTATAAAAATAATTTGTTTACTAAATACAGAAGATGAAGAATGCAATTTTATCAGAGCTAAAACCAAACAATTTGTGTTTTACTTATTCTTATTTATACTTATTTCTCTAATTAGAGGGAAGCAAGAGGGTGTCTTCTCGTATGAACCTACTGGCTGTTTGTTGATCTTTGTGTGGAGAATGTTTAATTTCCTGAATTTTTATTTTTTATTCTGCTGATTATAGGCAACACGGAAAGAGATTGAGAAACGCCAAGTCCAACTTAAGAATGTCAGTGATTTAGGAGAGAATTTGAAGACAGTACTGAAGGGAAAGGAAAGTCTAGTGGAAGACAAACTCAGCCTCCTGAACAGTAATTGGATAGCAGTAACTTCACGTGCTGAGGAATGGTTAAATCTGTTAATGGTAAGAAAAATGCGTTTGTGCCCACAGGAGAAATGATGCCCAGGGTGCTCATTCTTACAGGTTTGCTTTTTGTGGTGCCCCAGAGTATGCTTATCTAATGGACTGACAATCAATCACATTGTTTAGTTGAGTGATTAAAGAGAGAGGCGCTGCGGAATTTTGCTGATTAGTGTTTCCCGTTCTTATCTACCTGAGCAGTTTCTGGGCCATTTTTTGTTTTGTTGGTTTTTTGGTTTTTTTTGTTTTTTTTGTTTTTTTTTTTTTTGTTTTTTTTTTTTTTAATTTTCCTAGAGTGTGGAAGGCAGGTTCTTCCCAAAGACCTAAAGTACTTGAATATGAATCAAATAAAAAAAAATGGCCATATCAGTTGAATTAAGTCTCAGTACTGATACCGACTTTGTGTTTATCTACATATGACCTGTAAGTCACCACCTGCATGTTGGTTTGGTCCTCAGAATAGATGTGATGTGTGTGAACTAAATTCATTTCAAAGCAAGTGAATTAGAAGCTCTGTGAGTACTGTGCACCTAATTTGCTCAAGAACAATGATGTAGTCCTCCTCTGTGGTGGTCCTCCTCTGGGCAATTTTGTGGTGCATGTTTTGATGCAGATATTTTTTTAAGGGGCCCAGATTAAACCTCATACAAAGCAAATCCCTGAACCACATTTAATTTAAATTCAGGAGTCCCAACAGCTTAGAACAACTGGCAGTCATAAAACTTTATTCTCCCCTTCATGTTGTCCTGAAGAGTTGACAAAAGCAAAGAAGGAGTATTAACCATACAGTGGCTGAACACTTAAGAAAATCTTGTATGATGTTTCTTTTCCTGATGGAATCAGAATGCAGTTTGAAGTCAGAGAACTGAAGTAGTTCTCAGGGATACATTAGACTTAACTTTTCAGAGCTGGGTGTTTTAGAACTCTACTAGGGACCATTATCTTAAGAATGCTTCTGTAACAGATAGGCAACATCACTACAGGGCTTCTTCATCTATAGGCAGCGTACAAGTGCAAACATCCATTTGTGTCTGCTCTATCTGGAAGACTGAAGCATTTGATGTAGCATGATGTAGGTCCTCAGCTTCAATGTAGAACTGATTATTAGAAATATATATTGGAGTTTACAGATGGCTGTAGTTATGTCCTTGACAAGGTTATGTAGCAGTATTGCAGTTTCTGTAGCGTAATACTTTTAATGACCAAAAGGAACAGGTAAATAAATTATTACAGCTGTTGCCACTGCCACACTACTAAAATATCCATATTCTAATAGTGTGCTAATAAGTACATGTGGCTCACTTATAAGTTTGAGGTGGGTGTGAATACACCTCATTCTAGTGATCTCATCAGAAAAGACAGAAGATTTATAAATAAAAAAAGAAAGTTTTATTGGAATATCAATGGCAGTAGCTTTTTAAAAGTAGAATATGAAAGCAGAGAAGCTAGGTGAATTTTACGTGAAAATTATATATATGTATATAAAACACACTTTCTTGACTGTGATTTTGCAGGTGAATCTTTGTTTCCATCCTAGTTTCAATCAACTTAGTAGCTCACCAAAAAGCAAGCCTGATTCTTGGGAAATTTCACCTCCATTAGCCCTGGCTGCCAGCTTCCTTTTCCTCTCAGCAGTCTCACTGAGCTGCAGATGCCTGTTTCTTGCTGTGACTGTATCACCCTCCTGTCTGTCTCTTAGGAAGATTCTGTCTCTTCTAGAATGTCGTTCAAAGAAATAAAGCATATAAATTGAAAGCAAACACATAAAGTAGATTTTGTCCTTCACATAACAAGCAGATATTATATGAAATAAATTTTGTTTCATAACATATGCATGTTTGCCACAATTGGCATAAATATGGCTATTATTTCAGTTCTGATTACTTTTTTGTATGCAGTATTTACCTTTTTTACATACAGGAATATCAAAAGCACATGGAGGCTTTTGATCAGAAAGTAGCTAATGTCACAACTTGGATATATCGTGCTGAAATACTGTTGGATGAATCTGATAAGCAAAAGCCCCAGCAAAAAGAGGAAACTCTTAAGGTAAAAAAATGTGATTTTCTGGAGAACATTAATTTTATTCTGAAAAGGAATGTGTCAGAACTAGTGTATTTTGAAAGGTATCCAAAATTGATTAACATTATTTTCTCTGTGATAAAGCTACCCTCTGGGTTGCAGATTGCTTAGTAACTTTGTACCACACAGCAAAAGTTAAGTCCCTACAGGAATAAAACCAGATACATTACAAGTCTTGGTTACTTCATGGTGAGTAGAACATCTTTTTAAACCTGTGTTTGCTGGAAAATACTGCTTAACAGAGCAGGTTAAACACAAACCTTTTCTCCTGTGTTTTCATTTTAAATACTTTTCTATTTTTCTTTTATTCTTTTCTGATATCTATGGTATCTGCATTTGATTTCTCTGTCATATGATTGTTTTAGTCCTATGAACACAGCTTGCATTGATGCCAGTCCAACACCATGAACAAGAATATTACATGTTGAATAAGCTGTATAATAATGGCTTAGCGCACTGATCTAAAGGCTTTATTTGGCCTCTTACATCATTTGATGAAGACTGATGAAAAGTGACATGTAAGATAATTGTGACAAAGTATCTATTTAAAATAACTTCTTTGTCAAGGACTTTGAGTTATTATCTATATGGATTTTTATATATGTATTTACTGTAGTAATCAGTGTGAAATGTTGCATATTATCAGAGAAATAGTTTGCAAATCAAAATCAGAATTGCATTGCTGATGCTAACATAGTGATACCATTTACCAAAAAAAAATCCAAGACAATCAAAATTTCCAAGTAGCACTTACACAGAGCAAAAGTCAATGGCTCATTGATCTCAGAAGGATTACAGGACAGACTTCTGAAGCAAGATTAACAATTTTGACACTGCAAAGCACAAAGTACAATTATCTGTGCCATCGATAAAAATTTACAATTGTGTTGAACAATGGCATTTCATAGACATTGTAAAATGCTTCCTAATGCCCAAATGTGTTTATGATTCCTTCATATGTAGCTCCCCTTTTTTTGCCTGTGCCCATATTGACATGTACTGTTACAATTATTATTACAGAAGAAGATATTGTTTTCTTGTGGATAGATCTGTATAAAAAAATCACACTGGTGTTCATCTCATTGTATTTCCATCCCTCCACTGAACCTTATTGAACTAGTAATGAAAGTAGCAACTTTTACCTTGAGTTCTTTAATGTATGAATTATGATCACAAAATCACAGAATGGCTTGAAGTGGAAGGGACCCTAAACACTATCCTGTTCCAAATCCTTGCCACAGACACCCACTACATCAGGCTGCCCAGGTCCCTGTCCAGCCTTGAGCACATCCAGGGATGTGGCACTTGAATCTTTGAGCAACCTGTGCCAGTGCATTAACACAATTAGCAACTCTCCTTATCTTTAGGAACATAAAATAATTGATTGTACCCTCAAATATGTTGAGGATTGTATTATGGCAGATAACCTGTCTAGAAACACTGTCCGCCGTTATTTTCCAATAGAAGATCAGAAAACAGATATATAGATACATTCCTGCTATAAATGTTGAGGAGTGTGAGTAAGAATGTTACCTAATGTATTTGTACTGTGTTTGCATGCTCATGCATAATTGTCTGAATTTGCTTTATGGTTTTGCTCCCTATTCCTTTGCACACTCTCTCTCTCTCTCTTTCTCTCTCTTTGCATTTATTACTAACTTCAAGCCCTGTCTCTTGCTCACGGACTGTAGCGCTTAAAGGCTGAGCTGAATGATATGCATCCAAAGGTGGACTCAGTGCGTGACCAAGCAGTAGACTTGATGACAAACCGTGGCGATCACTGCAGGAAAGTAATAGAGCCTAAACTATCAGAGCTCAACCATCGATTTGCTGCCATATCACAAAGAATTAAGAGTGGAAAGGTAGGAAGACTTGCTTCCATATGGAGATGCATACAGAATGGTATCTGTATAAGGTGCACAGTTAAAACTTATCACTGAACTATAGAGTCTTCAAGAGCTAAGATTTTAAAGGAAAATATGTTAAAATCCTAATTTTATTTATTTATTTTTTTTAAAGTGTCAGTGTTTGAGAGGGATTTGGCATTAAGGGACTTCTTTCACTACTATTCACTAAGTTTATATAAACATACACCTGTTATCTCACTAACACAAAAAATGAATGTTATTTAGGAAATAATAAGATTCTTAATCTTCTCAAATGACTGTCCATAACTATTTTTTTTTTGTGTGTGTATTTGTTTGGAGGGGCTAATTTTTATTAAATGTCTTTTCCTATGAGGCCAAGACTCGTCAAGGTTTGATATGCATGTATTTGTATATGTATATTTCAACAGTACTTCAAATAATTATCTCTTCAATTAGTTTGAGTACTGAATTGAGTTCAGTTTGAATTAGGGCATTTTTAGACAAGTTTTGCCAAGTTCACTTCTGACGTGGAATGAGAGAGGATATAAATCATTTCTTTTCTCCATTGTTTTCACTACCTTTATTGTGAAGAGTAGTTTTGCAGATTAAAGCAGGCAGCCACGTAGGGTGCATAGCAGGACTGTATAGGTCCTGATCCTATGTATTTGTGGTAGCTAGTGTAATAGCACGGGAAATCAATGCACAGAGGATCAGTGGCAGAGAAGGAAATAAGCCTTATAAATGCATAAGTAAGGTTGCATGGTTTCCATCTACTGTTCTGGGCTTTCACAGGGCTTAGTACCCTCTGTAATCAGCACATTGTTTGTACATATTTGAGTTGATTTAGTTTTCATTTGTGGAACAGAACATATCCTATTAGGAGAAAAAAAAAAAAAAAAAAAAAGCTTAATGATAGAAACTGTGAAGCAGTGTGAAATAATTGTGTCAATATTTGCTTGAAAACAAGAGGGGAAGTTAAAAGGGCTTCCAGGAAAGCTGAGGAGAAAGCCAGGGTATGATTTGGGTTTTCTTTTCTTCAGTATATTACTTAATTGCACACTTATAAACTGCAATGATGAACAGTGGCATGTAATTGTCATTGTTGAATTAAAAATGAATCATATTAATCTTAAATGCAAGAATTGTGCAAAGAAGGATATGTGTGAGTACTTTAGAAAACTGTTTTTTATGGCCTCTCACTTTGAGAAGTATATGTTATTTTGACCTTTTTTTTTTTTTTTTCAGGATATATTAGTCTTTCTTGAAAAACAAGTACTCTCTCATAGCCTGTATACAGGCAAAAAACTGCTGGATTGTTTAAAACTGATGCTCTATTTGGCTGAGAAATTAAAAGACTACTTGTTTTGTAATACAAGCAAGTTCCAACAATTGTCTGACTGTATCATTTCATCTTTGCTAGCTAAGATGAACTTTAACTGGGTGATTTCCAAATCATTTTGCTCTTCAGGGGTGCGAGTACCTTCTTTAACTGAGTGCAGAGTCATTGACATTATTTCTTTGACCAGTGTAACATTTCTTACTGCACAACGATAAACAAGACATGTTTTTTTCCAAAGCAGCTTCTTTTCTAGCTAGTTTTAACATAAATTTTGAGGAATATTGATACTGTGCTATTGTAGAGGCTAGCAGCATCTAAGCGCTCACACAGCAACTCACTGAGAACTCATCCCCTCAGTGAGATAGAGGATAAGAATAGGAAAAGTGAAACTGAGAAAACTTGCAGGTTGATATAGAAACAATCTCATAAGTAAGGGGAAAAAAGCAAGTGACACAAAGACTCATTGCATTCCCTAAGCACACTGGTGCTCAGCGTATTTCTCATCAATGGATACCTTGGAAGTTGTACCCCACTTCTTCCTCTCTCTTACGTTTGTTTGGTTGGTTGGTTGGTTTGGTTTTGCTTCTTTGTTTTTCTGTTTGTTTCTTACTTTGATTTTCTGGAACTAATCATTACATGATATGGTATCCCTTCAGCCAATTTTGGTCATCTGTCCCCTCCCAACTTTCCCAACCCCCAGCCATTGTGGTGGGGTACGTTTTTCCTGTGACCTAGAGTGATTGTGTTAGGGATTTTGTTTTGTTTTGTTTTGTTTTGTTTCCTGGCAGCCGTCAGTAGTATTTCAGCAGTTGCAGTGTGCTTCTACTCATTACAGAAGGACAAACTGTAGACAGAGGATATGTAGTACAAACGATTCTGTTGTGTAACATTTCCATTCTGAATACTGCAATATGGAGCTCCTTCTGAGTTTTGCCATACTCTTCCACAATGTTGTAAGATGAAATGTTGTGATGATGCATCCTTTGATGAAGTGATCTAAATGATCAGAGTATAGATTACTTAGTATTTTGCTATTATTTCTGCCTTAGTTGAAGTAGTTGCTAGGTAAGAAGCTGAGCTTCTTGATGAAAATTTGTGAGCACAGTATGTTTCCTTATGAATATCAACCATTGTTATATTTCCATTAGTGTGTACAAGCGTACAAAGTCTTTGTCGTGAAAATGATCAACCAGATACAATTATAATATTTTTACTCTAAATCTCCCAGTTTATCTGTGGAACAACTGATAAAGTTTTACACATCTTCTGAGTGTCAATTGATGTCTAGCCTCTTTTGTTTGACTGAATAGCTTTGATTATTAACATCTTGATTACAAACATATGCTTTATAATAAAGACCAATGTGTTGAAATATTCAAGGGAAGTGACAAAAATATAATGTACTTATGCCTTTAGTAGGTAGACAGAAGTACATCCAGGAGATTCTAGGTCATTAAGAGAAGAACAGGTTAGAGATCACTTTGTCAGACTGAATGGGTGCAAGTCTATGGGGTTTGATGACATACATTCCAGGGTCCTGAAGGAACTGGCTGATATGACTGCCAAGTCACTCGCCATCATATTTGAAAAGTCATGGCTGTCAGGTGAAGTCCCTGGTCACTGGAAAAAGGAAAACATGACTTCCATTTTTAAGAAAGGAAGAGAGGAAAACCTGGGAAACTACAGGCCAGTGAGCCTCACCTCTTTGCCTAGGAAGTTCATGGAGCAGATCCTCCTGGAGGTTGAATTACAGCATGTGCAAGACAAGAAGGTGATCAGAGACAGCCAGTATGACTTCGCCAAAGGCTGATTGTGCCTGACCAAAATGTTGGCCTTCTATGATGGAGTGACAACACCTGTGGACAAAGGAAGGACAACTGATGATGTCTGCCTAGATGTGGTCATGCACCCTGTCCTTATCTCTAAATTGGAGAGATTTGCAGGCTGGTCTGTTGGATAAGAAAGAATTGGTTGGACGGTCACAGGGGTTATGACTAACAAATCTATGCCCAGGTGAAGACCAGTCACAAGCAGTGTCTCCCAAGGGAACTCTTGGGACTGGTGCTCTTCAACATACTAATCAGTAACATAGACAAGGGGATCAAGTGTACTCTCAGGAAATTTACTCATGACACTAATCTGAGTGGTGTAGTCAACATGACAGAAAGAAGGGATGCCATCCAGAGTGACTTGGACAAGAATGAAAACTGGGGCCACGTGAACTGAATGAAGTTTAACATGGCCAAGTGCAGAGTGTTACGCTTGGATCAGTGCAATCCCAGATACTTCTACAGACTCATCAAGAGCAGCCCTGTGGAGAAGGATGTAGGGGTCCTGGTGGACAAAAAGCTGGACATGATCTAGCAGTGTACTGTTGTAGCCCAGATGGCCAACAGTTTCCTGGGCTGCATCAAAAGAGGGGTGACGGCAGGGAAAGATAGTCCCTCTCTGCTTTGCCTTTTTTAGACCTCACATGGAGTGATTTCTTAAAGAAGGTTTTGTTTACTTCTGTTTTTACTATGTTACATAGTATCACTAAGTGGATATCTTATGTGAAGTTTAACTGTTTTGTTTTGTTTTGTTTTGTTTTAAGATGGATACTATGTAATCAATCTGGGATTTTTGCTGTTCTTTTTGACAGAACAATGATTTCAAAACACTGTGACAAATTATCCTGAAATTGTTTTCAATTGGTAGTAGAAGGTAGTTATTCATCTAAATGGATTGCTTGTTGCTATACTGTTTCTGAGGATTGTTTAAACTTAATTTTTTAGACACTTTATCTGAGCCTATTCTTGCACACAAATGTGAAAATATCATTTTTTTTCTTTAAATCTTACTTTGCCACAGAATTCTTATATTTCTTACACGAGAACTCTAGAGTATTCTTAAGTACCAATCTTTATTTGTGTATGTGGGTAGTTGGAGTTGCATGGTGATAATTTTTTCATCTTATGGAAAATCTACTAATGTTTTAGTAATAGGAAGTGGAACTGATGTCTGTTCTTGTTTATGCTTCTAATAAGACTAATAATTACGTAATTTAAATAAATTATATCTGTATTTTTCCCATTCTAGCCCTTCATTCCTTTGAAGGAATTGGAGCAATTTGACTTCGATATACAAAAATTGCTTGAACCACTGGAGGTTGAAATTCAGCAGGGGGTGAATCTGAAAGAGGAGGACTTCAATAAAGATATGGTAATTTGGTTGAAATGGAAGTTTGAGTGAAGTAGATAGAAAGATGAAAAAGTCCAGAGTGAAAATGAGAAACTACCTTATTTGTCTTAAGATCTTTAGATATGACTTGGACAGAATTTTACTATGCTAATATATTATAAATTCAAAGGTTCCAAATTAGCATTAGTTTAGAAGTCATGTAAAAGAAGACATTCACTAACGACAAATAACACAGAGATTAGTTATTAACATATATGGTCATACCTTATATTGTGAATAATACATGTGACTGTGATAAGTTTTATTATTTATGTTTCCTATTTGTTAATAGTAAAACAATGTAAGTGTATTAAAACAAAAACAAAACGTCACAAACAAAATACTGCTGTGAATTCTTTAATACAATTTTCAGAGGAATGACATGTCTTAGATAGCCAATCATCTTTAGGATCCTCACTTTGTGAATCCTCAGCAAGATCAGATATATATTTCTTTATAGGCAATATAAGTAAAAAGTATTGTATTTCCTTTCAAGGTATTATTCAAAGATAGATCTTTCAGATCAATGCTAAAATGAATTTTTTTTTTTTTTTTTTTTTTTTTTTTTTTTAATGCAGGAAAAACATAAGCAATTTGAGGCGGTATTTACTGAAGGGGTAAATAATAAGTGAATTAAGTTTTATTGGGTAATGTTCCGATGCTTGAGCATATTTTTTCTGTTTATATACATAGGATGTTTAGTGTTGTTTCAAAAATGGTCTTGAAATCTGTAGGAAGAGATTCACCTTCTGTATCGAGTGCATAGTGGTACCATTTTCAATGCTAGAATAGCTGTTTTGTATTGTGATGATACTATTATGTGAAATACTTAGGAATCACATTGTCCTAGCATACTGACGATATCAATGACTACTGAAACTTTCTTAGAGTATTTCAGATACACCTTTCTGTTTTAAAGTTAGAAATATTTTATCCTTTTGCCTTTAATGTTTTCATCCTCTTATCCTGGATGTTCTGTAAAGTCTAGTATCAAACATCTGTAGCTTTTCATTTGCTGTTTTATTCGTACCTTTCAAGTGATATAGAAAGTAAGTGAAAGCTATTGTGTCTTCAGAACAAAACTGCAAGTAGCTTTTAGATCTTTACCATAGGAGGTAAAAGTTTATATGTCGAAAACTCCTAGTACTTAAGTGGTAGTTAAATTAAATGCCCATTTTACCTGTTATTATTTTAAATCAGAGTGAAGAGGATGAGAGCACAGTGAAAGAATTGCTGCAAAGGGGCGACACGCTTCAGAAAAGAATCACAGATGAGAGACAACGGGAGGAAATAAAGATAAAACAGCAGCTGTTGCAGACTAAACATAATGCTCTCAAGGTATAGGAGCTACCATTATAAGCACATACAAATAAAACAGATTTTTCATCATTTCAGGGCAATGTTCTGTAAAGTTAAATGAATCCTCATTACTATTTAGAGATGAATCATTTGAAACTATTCAGCTATAAGCATGTATTTGCTTCTACACTTTTCTTGAAGCTTTGGAAAAGGCATATTAATTATGCAGTGTAATGGACACTGTTTTGTCACAGTTTTGTTACGACCAGGTGATTGCCAATTGGACAGTAAACACTTATTTGATTATATTACCTTTTTTAAATATGCTTTGCACTTTTTATATTTCTCCAACAGAATTCCAGACCTTAGTTACAATACAGCCTCACAAATTTAGATTCTGGGTGGTAGAACACTTTTGTTGTAATTAATAATCTGGTTTATACTTCATTAAAAAAAGTAGCATGCTGATCTCTTTCAACATGAAAAGTGGCACTTCCCTCTTTAAAATACTGGTGGGGTAGATTATAATCTATATCAGTATATCTGTATCAGTAGACTTAGCAGCTAAGAAGCTGAAAATCAAAGTCATACGTCTAAATTCTGTGCTGGGAGATTTATTTGAGGATGCCAACTTTCTGGAGAAAAATAAAATACGGAAAGGAAGAATTTTGTAGTTGAAAGATCACCTTTGGTCACCTAAGAGGCATAGTCTCTGGCAGTTGTAGCTGAAATGTTTATCCTTCATCAGGAGGATTTTTTCTTGAAAATTTTTGTTTCGTTCTTCTTGACACTAGGAACACATTTTTACATGTGTTTATGCATGTTTACATTTAATTATTACTTATTTTTGAGCATCATCTTTTGTTTCCTATGGATTTCATTCTAATTTTTACAATTGAACTGTGTGAATGCAGTAAAATAGTAGATGGAATATGTTGTGATTTTGTTCACAGTACACAGTAACTTGAAATCTGCTAGGTTTGTCTTGGATTTTTTCAAGTTAAACAGAACTAATTCAAATTCTTTGTGGAGGAGAAGACTCTTTTCAGAGCTATACTATTGGCCAGATTTTTACTGGTTGTTTTCTTTTTGGGTTATTCAGTTCAGCATTCAACTTTGTCAAATAAACTTTTCAAGAAAGGTTGAAGCAAATTTGTTTATGTTTTCTTTTTTCTTTTTTAATAAATTATGTAAGTTTTTTCTAAAGTTGCTTCTTAGTAAGATGCTATTGTAGTGAAAGTATTTTCTGAACTCTTCATGAATGAAGCTAAGGACATAAGGTATATTTAATAATACTGTCAAGGAAGTTGTGTTTTTTAATGTCCTGTTCAATAGAAGTTTTAATACTTTTATAAATCCGAGTCATAAACACATTTGGTATGCAATGGTCTATAATACATTTTTGCATTGAAATTATTTTCTTTTGAATAGCTACAGAATTCTCACGTAGGCTAGAATTTCACAATTGATTACAAAACACAGGAAGCCCACTTGTACCTAGCTAGTAAGTGGGCTGTGTTTCCTTCCATCCAGTAAGTATTCTGAGGAAAATTGTTTTATATGTAAAAATATTGATATTTATGTAGGACTTCTCTGAATATTGCTGACTGCTCACTGATTTATTCATGTACCCTCAGCTTAAACATTTACCTGTCAAACTGATGAAAATACCCTGTGTTCAGATACTTCCACATTTGATTTAAATATCATCATTTAATTAAAAATTGTGGACCTGTGTACTTTTCCTTTTTTTCCTTCAGTGTACACAAATGCCAATTTATATTTTATAAGTCTTTCATCCATATTCTAATAATATCTGCACTGTGAACAGGACTTGAGGTCTCAAAGAAGAAAAAAGGCTTTAGAGATTTCTCATCAATGGTATCAGTACAAGAGACAGGCTGATGACCTAATGACATGGCTGGATGACATTGAGAAAAAGTTAGCCAGTCTACCAGACCACAAAGATGAACAGAAGCTAAAGGTAATGTTTTTTTGGGGGTGGCAATGATAGATCATTTTGAGATATAAATTTATTAATTTAAAAAATGGAAATGAAATGAATATTTCAATAGATGTAAAATATTATTATTTCAATAGATTATTTCTGATTTATAATAAAAGAAATGCTAACAATCTGTATTCAAATTGGTATTTCTTTGTTGTACTATCTCTTGTATTCTTTTGTTACAATAATTGTTACATAAATCATTTGAAAAACATTAAATAAATTTTTTTGTCAATATGGAGTGTGCAATGTATTAAGAAGCATCAAATGTTTTTTAGTAAAAATTGTAATTGATTTTATGTATCTTTGTTCCAGATGAACTAATGACTTACCGATATATGGATGACCTCTATCTCATGTTAGCACATTCATTTTCATCTGAACATTCATATGTCATTGTCAAAATCTGTAGATTGATTTACATATTGTCAAAGGTTTTCCTAGTTTTTTTTTGCCTCGTCTTTCTTTGCTTCATTCTCTGTTGAGTTTCCTGCAGAGTAAAACAGGAATTAAACACTGTATTGAAGATTCAGATAAAATATTTGTAAACTGTCCAAACTATCTGTCATGAATATGCTGACCCTTATGAGTTAAAAAAATAATAATACTCTTCAACTGCCCATTACAGTGTACTAGCAAGAATCAAAATGTAAAACCTGTTGGCCTTTGCTAACTAATTCTCAGTTTGTACTAGATTCTAATATATCTACAGCCAGTCTCCAAGAAGATTTCTTAATCTCAGGTTTTTTTTGTTGTGTTTACCTCTAAGATTAGAAATAGCTGAACATTTTAACTGTAACAATAAAATTGAAATGGAAGTTCTGACAGAAGTATTTTGCTAATTCTAAGTTGATTGATCTAGTTAGCTAACTGTCCTGGGCCCTGTATTGGTTTTGCTCACTAGGAGATTGGTGGAGAGTTGGAGAAGAAGAAGGAAGATCTGAATGCGGTGAACAGGCAGGCTGAACGCCTGTCTAAGGATGGGGCTGCAAAAGCAGTGGAGCCAACCCTGGTACAGCTCAGCAAGCGCTGGCGAGATTTTGAGAGCAAATTTGCTCAGTTTCGAAGACTCAACTATGCACAAATTGTGAGTTGTTATTGGCAAACCCATATGTTTGCAACTGCTACTGCTAATAGAATCCTACTAACACTGAGAGCATCAGGGTCAGTGTCAACTCTTCAGATATTAATAAGAAAAACCCTATTGTTTGCAAGTGGGAAAGTCGTATTCTAATACAGTAGTTCTCTGTTTTGGTCTTAAAATTGCCCTTCACTTAAATCAGCCAATTAACGAAAACTCAGCAATGAAAAGCTCATGTTTATTTCTGTTGCTTCATTATTTTTCCGTAACATTTTCCAGTTTAAAAATGTCAGTTTGCCATGCATGCATTTTTGTTCAGTAAATGTGTATATCCAAAAAAGTGTTATTTTCAAACTACCCATTCCATGCCAATTTCAGTTGTTTTTATTTGTCCATAATACATCTTTATACCTACTTTAGAAAGAGATTAATTTTTTTCTCCTTGCACTTTTATACATAGCCTCTTCTTCAAATACTTGAAATCTCAAAGGAGTTTTTTGCAAGAAACTGTACTTTTAAATTGAATAAGAGATGAAAATCATTTTCTAAGCTAACTTAATGTTTTCTTATTTTGAAGGGTTTAATATAAAATATTATTATATTCTTACTGGTTTATAGATGCTGCAGTAACAGGATAAATAAAACAGAAGTCAACTGTCACTATTCCAGATTTATGATCAAAATAATATTGCACAAGTTTGCCATATGGATGGTTGTGAAATAACTACTTTTGCACTCATATGGCAGTTTTTGGTTGTCATTCTTCTTACTGTGTTTATTGGCTTTTGAACTTTAGATTTTATGGGATTAAAGAGAAGATTGACACCTGTTTGTTGTTAGGAAGTTGTTACATTCATTACATTGTGCTCTTCTGTAGTCTTAAAAATGGTAGTGGAAAAGAAAATACAGTCCTTTAATGCACTGAGTTAATGTAATTAATCTGTTTTTATTTTGATCTCTCTGACTATTAAGTTACATAATATATATATAAAAACAATAATTGGGATAGCTATGCTGTTAATGGAAACAATCAGACAATCATTAATTTTGGTTTGTATGTTATTAAATCTTGTTCCATCTGATTACTCTTTTCGGGTTACTATGGTTTATATTAAACTTGATGAACAGAATCACTTCCAAACCATTTATTTATATTGGCATGGAGCTAGAACAGGCTTCACTTTGTCTTGTAAATAAGTTTTTTTTATAATGAATATATTTGTTCTTTTGATATGAAAGAAACAAGAATCTGCCATTCATATTAAACATACTCACCCAACACCTACGATGATAGAGGGCAAGTATATCCATTATAAAATTTTACCAGCAAATCATATTTTTCTTTAAATTATGTAAAGTAGACAAATTGCTGTATGGGTTTTTGAATTGGTCAATTAAATATAGCCGCTGACTTTTTAGGCGTGCAACCATTACATGTGCTCTTACTGTTAAAATAAATTATTTATACAGTATATTTATATTTTTGTTATGGTTAAAAGTTTTAAGTATTCTTCAATGTCTTAAAAAAATTTAGTTAATGAAATATACGTGTGTGCAGGTCAATTATGTTGTACTTTTCATTTCATATGAAAAATATCATTCTCTATTGACAATGACCACTGTGGTATTAATGTGAAATGTGTTAGACATTTTACAGAAGCTACTGAAACTGATGAGAAGTGTTGTATTTTCACGGTCACATCAGAATGAGGAGGAATACAAGGCGCCTCGTTACTATTTTAGTTAGTCTTTTAGTTTTTCCAAATCATTGAAACAAAGTTAATTTCCCAACTTCCTTTTTTTTGCTGCTGTTGTTGTTCTTTCTTTTAATACAGCATAAGTTCCTACCTCACAGGGATGTTGTGAGGGGTTAGTTAGTTGTTCAAGACTTGAGCATACAGAAGAAAAAAGAAAACTTGAACTATTCACTTGAACACATGCATATACCAGCAAAAAAAAAATGCTTTGTTACCCACCAACTGAATAAAAACGTACAGTAAAACTACAAAATTGAATTTATTTTTGAAGCAAAAGAAGTAGAAAATTTCTGCATTTTTCATTTGCAATTAATGATGTATACAATTACAGACATATAAGAGTTGAAAGTTATTGTTAAAAGGCAATGAGGTTTTAACTGTACTGTATATCTTGCAATTCATTATGATTAATTGAATAAACATAGCAAGATGCTGCTGTGGCTTGATGACAGAATTGCATTTCTTACTTTATTAGAGCTAATATAATTCTGATATCAAAGTATGAAATCAGAGTGATTATGTTCCCCCTTATTTACTTTTCCCCAATTTGGGGGCTTGAGGGGGGAGGGAGGGGTGGAGGGGAAGATCTGCGAAAAGGATGCATAAACATAAGAATTGAGTATGTCTGTCATGGTAGATTCTTATGAAGTTGTGATTCTCTCACAGATGTGTAGTAGATAGTGCCCACCAACAATCTGAAAAATAAGTGTGTGTCACCAGTTCTGTTAATAAGTATAGTGTAGCTGAAAGCATAGGCTTAAAAAGGTGAAGCATAATTATTTTCCACTACACAAAAAGCTTTTTTTTTTTTTGTTGCTGTTGTTGTTGTTGTTACCTCAAACACTACCTGTTCTTTATTCCAACTTGAGACATAGTTTATTTTATTATAACTTAATTCAGTCGTGGACATTGGAAATTACAAGAGTTCATATTATCTTAAGACTATTTTTGGGATGGGAGGAATACTTTTCCTTCAATTCAGTAATAGCTGTCAAAATTATATACCTGCTTGTATATATACTGGCAAAGAAAGTAGACTTGCATAAATGATATCAGTAATTTTATTGGTAACACAAATAAAAATTCCATTGGAACTAATGGTCATTTTACTTCTGACATATTTTGGTCTGGATTTTTTTTCCATACTGGGAAAAATAAGTTGATCAAAAGGTAAAAATCAGGAGAAAGTCCTTTTCATACCACGTAAACCTTGTGGTGAACAAGAATGAATAAGGAAAATAACTGTGTAGAATATGCATTTTTTTCTTCGAGGTAAGTGGTTAGAGTAGTTCAAAGCAATTAACGGTGACATAAGTCGAATACCAGTACTTTTAGTACTTTTAGTACTTCCTATGAAAAAAAGGACCATAAGCCTCATTTTCAAAATAAATTACCTTATTCTGTTAAAGATTCTATGAAGCATTCAGAAGTTCAAACTAATTGTCTCTTAATTGGGTACTTGTTCCAGGTGAGGGAGTATGTGATCAGCTTCTGGAACCTGATTAAGGACTGATCAAATTTATTTTACATCTGAAATTCAAGAGTTGGTTTAAATTCACTCTTCTAAAGACATCTTCCAATTTTCAGTTAGTATTTCCCTATTGAGCTCCATTAGTTCTCTTTAATGAAATCTAAACTTGTTTTTACAGATAAAATATGTTTACCTACAAAAATATTTTCTAAAATGTAAAATCAAACAGTAACAGAAATAAAATGTGTCACAGCTAGATAAACACAAGTCCTGTGTCCTAATTATATACCTGCATCCATATAATGTTAATACTTTGATACTCCTTTGCTATCATTGTTTTAGATCATTATTTTCCATGGTTGTCAGAACCAGAGGCACTGGAATAAAATGAGTATTTCTCCTTATATTTTATTTATATATATATCTTTTTTTTTTTCAGTAAATGAATTAATAGTGGTTGAGACAAGCTAATTCATCTTTATTGTCATGAGGAGTAGGGGAGGGGATGAAATGATGAAAGAAGAGTCATTAGAAAAGCAAAACAGGAAAATACTTAGTGGGCGAGAAGAGAACTGTAGGAATGGATTGGAATACAGAATCTGTTTAACCTCTGTGTTTTGGGTCTTTCAAGGACAGGACAGAAGTGATTCAGTGATACCATTTAACTTCTGTATTAACAGAGGCAGCTGTTTAACTGAGGCAGCTTTACACAGTACAGCCAAACACAGACCTCTTTTGGCTGTGACTGTAGAGGAGTGAGAATGAATGAGAATCTTTGGGAAGAAAATCACAACTGAGTGTATACATCAGCTTTTTAGCATCCATCAGGAAAATCAGGAAATCTGTTAACAATACTATTAGAAAATTCATTCAAAATCATTTAATTTTATTTCAGATACTTCTAGTTTCATGTCTCTTTTAGGATTCTGGCAAGAAAGCTGAAGGAAATACACTGAATATAGGCATTGGATATAGCTGAAGAGGAGCTGGTATTACAGATGCATTTTAAAATGCACTTTGCATTCTCTGTTTCTAAAAGATAGAGTGATGTAATAATTTAAGAGAAGGCCATTGATAGCCTTCTTCTGTATGATGTGAAACCATCTTATACAGTACTTTAAGTTCTTCTAAAGTGTGTTTTTCTTGTCTTTTATTTGCTTATTCATTCTGTTCAGTATTGTCATGGCAAATCCGTAATATTTTATTAGAGCAAATTTTAAAACAAACTTCCTTTCAGATGACTGAACTTCACACAAAAACATTTTTCTCTACCTTTTTTTTCATTATCTCTTATGGTCTTTAATGAAGCAATCTGAATTACATTCCCTAGTTTGAAAGTGAAGTTCAACACCTTTAACTCATTGCATGGGAATGAATAGCCTTGCTGCAAGTAGGACTGTCTTAGGATGTTGTCTTAAATTATAAGTGATTACTGTAATATAGTCTAAAACATGGCACAGGCTCTACTTATTGTCCTCAGTGTGGTAAGGGTGGTAACAAAACTAGCATCCTTTGGTTAAGGAAACCTGTGACAACCAATTTGTCTCTCCATTCAGTTTTCTTTGGCCAAAACTGCATTATCCTGGTATAGTATTTTCTTCCTAATAATTGCCTAGCTACTGGGGAAACAAACCAGCTAATTGCCATCTTAATTTCTCAGATATATCATAATTTATTAACATAGTAAATTAAGTAACTAAATAGATAAATAAGTTTGCTATCAAAATTACTTGGTCATACTGTGAAGTTAAATAATAAGAGGAAAGACCTGATGCAGA